TTACTTCATCCCTTGTGAGGTCTAACCTCCTCTGAACATCCTTAGCCATTTTTTTTCTCTCTTCTATGAAATGACTATTCATATCCTCTGCCAAGTTTGGAATCAGGTTTTTCTTTTTCCTCAATTGATTGGAAAGCTCTTTTTCTCTTCTGTGCACCAAACCTCTGCAGATTATAAAGGCTGCAAATATATTCCTCTAGTCTGGGGCTTGCTGTGGTAGGCAGAATAACTAGTGTTCCCTCACCTCCACCCACCCCCCAAAATGTCCACAGCCTAATTCCTAAAACCTGTGAATGGGTTACCCAATGTGGTCAACGGGAGGACTTTGAAGATGTGATTAAGAGTTAAGGATCCTGAGGGGAGGGAATGAGTCCCAGTTATCCAGACAGGCCTGATACAGTCACGAGGGTCCACACCAGAGGGAGGCAGAAGCTCCAAGACAGCAGACAGGAGTTAGAGTGATGCACTTGGAAGACGGAAGAGGGCTGTGAGCCAAGGTGTGCTGGGAGCCTCTAGAAACCAGACAAGGCCGGGAAGCAGAGTGTCCTCTAGCACCATCCAGAAGTCCTGCCAACACCTTAATTTTTCCCCAGTGAGACCCTTTATAGACTTCTGACCTCCAGAACTGCAAGACAGTTGGTGTTGTTAAGCCACTAAGCCTGTGCTAGTTTGTTACAGCAGCAATAGGAAACTAACACACTTGCCTTTTACTGACTTGTGCTTTGTGATTAGATACATCCTACCACAATGTCATTAAGGTATGGTCCTATGTTTTCCTCTAAGTTTTAGTTTGTTTTTGACATTTAGGTTGCCATTAATCCATCTGGAACTCATTTTTGTGTTGGGAGTACTGCAAGATTCTTTTTCCACAAAAAGGGCCGATGTCTCAACACCATTTATTTAATAGTTCCTCACAGCCCTGCTGTAATGCTGTTTCTGTCGCTCCCCACATTCCGTTATTTACGCAGGTCAGTCTCTTCCACGCTGCCCTGTCCCACTGCTCCCTTCACCTCTCCTGACCCCAGCACCCAGTGTCTTAGTTACTACACCGTGTGATGAGATATGTAAGTAGTCTTGCCTGTTGTTCTTAGTATCTTGGCTATTTTGGACCCTTATTTTTTCAAACTGATTTTAGGATAAGCTTGTTATACTTTAGTACCCTCTAAAAAAGATGGAAGTTTCTGTAAGCATTTTGACTGAAACTATATTAATTTGGGGGAAGACCACAACTTTACAATACTGAGTCTGCTTATCTAGAAAAATTTTCTTCTCTATCTTTTACATCCTTCAATAAAGCTTTTATAATCTTCCCCATACAAAACTTACTTGTCTTGTATTAAATTTATTCCTAAGTACCCTATGGATTAATTGCTATTTATGTTGTATTCTACAACTTCAAAAACATCACTGTTAGCCCTGGCTGGTGTAGCTCAGTGGATTGAGCACAGACCTGCAAACCAAAGGGTGGCTGGTTGGATTCCCAGTCAGGGCACATGCCTGGGTTGCAGGCCAGGCCCCCAGTGGGGTGCTTAAGAGGCAACCACACATTGATGTTTCTCTCCCTTTATTTCTCCTTCCCTTCCCCTCTCTTTAAAAATAAATAAAATCTTTAAAAAATTTCATGTTAACCCTAATCAGTTATCTGTAGTAGATACCCTTGACAATTTTGTTTCTTCCTTTCTACTTTTTTGTAGTTTAAATCTTATTACGGTGGCTAGGATGCCAGAATAATGTTGAACGGAAGCAGTGATAGTACAGCTCTTTGTCTTCTGTCCCAGGTTAGAGGGTTATACGTCACATGTCTCGTCAGGAAGTAGGTGTGCACTGTATGTAGATTTCTGTTGGCCTTCACTTTCAAAATTTACAGAATAGTTAGTACCATTAAGTATAAGTGGAATCACCCGAAAATTTCATAGTAACCAAACTCCTTCCTATTTTATGAACTCATCGCTTCTTTTCATTCTGTGGCTGGATTTAGTGTCTTCTATTTGTAGCCGTGCACCTTATTCAGTACTCTTCTTGCCCAGAATGAACGGCCAATCCTCATTCTACTTCTCAAGAGCATTTATGTCATCGCTGTCATAATGTCATTTGAAGTTTTTCTACAGCCTCTTGCTATGACGTTTCTGTTGCTGTGCCTACTTACAGCTGCCAGGTTTAGATTATTACTTCAGAAGAGGCCGGTTTCCACGCCGAGACCCCATGGGGACGCTGCAGAAGCAGTGCCCGTTCTGCCCCCATGGGAACACCCCCAACACTGTCAGGCCAACGCTGAAATACTTCATTTGGGTCTTCCACCCGCCTCCGGCTCCTAACCCGCTGTTTGGGGGGCTGTTATACAGCATAACCTTACTGAAAGCTGACACACCATCTTCCTCCCATAGATCACGTGAGTCCTAAGGCTGGATACATTCTTTTTCATTTCCAATTAGAAATATTCTCAAAATACTTATTTGCAATACTTATTTGCAACACGGCTGTCAAAAAATTGGAAAATACTTGTTCTAAGAGTTCATTTACATATGAGCTCACTGAGTCCACACACTTGATTTGCCCAAGGTCACAACAATGAGAAGCAAAATTATAAACTGCGCTCCCAGCATTTTCCACTGCAAAATGACTGCAATTTACGCACCCATGGACTTCTGGAATGTTAACTTATGTCTGCACAAATACAAATCCACCTGGAACACAGTGTCATTGTGACCCATTCTGATCCTGTAGAGAGATAAAATCTTAAGACTTGTCACTGTTACACCATTATGATGCTTTAGCGTTAAGTCACAGCTATCTGGGAATGCCAACTGTACACAGATAGCCTTCCGATGTCTAATTCAGTTTCCCATGTTCTTCCAGTGAGGCAGAAAAACGCCCAGGGCAGAATTCTCAATCATCCTAGTCACTAGAATCTACCCTGTACAAATTACCAAGTTGACCTTCTGGTTTACATACTAGTCTCCTGGGTCTGAGGGTCTCGGGGCTTCAGGGCCGCCAAGGCGAGCCATGGCTGACTTCATCAAGGAAAGGCCACCTGCTGGGGCCTCTTCATCGGCGACCCCCAGACTCACAGTACATTCCTTCCATTTCAACACCAGGCCTACTGCCTAAACGGGTCTTTGACAAGACTTTTCAAAGATTTGAAATCTTACCAAGCAAAGGCCTTAAGAAAATGAAATGTACTGTTCTCACATAAACTGAATGTACCTTTAATCCGTTCCTGGAGTGAAAGGCCTGCAGTTCTCAAACCCTTCCCAGAAGGCACCTGCGCCCGGGCCAACACCGGGACGTGCAGCGCACACCTTACCCACAGACATTTCTCTGTTTTCACTACTAGTGTAAGTCGTTCATTTTTGACTCCAAGGATGTGAAAGAACTGTAACTCTTCAAAGAAAAATAGTCATACTTATTGATATTGATCGTTTCTAAAATGCCCTCCTTAGGAATTCGGTTGGTTTAGCTCACTGAATTAGTAGTCCTGTAAAGTTCTTTCAGGATGACATCTTCATGTTAGACTCTTATTTTGCTTTTAGAATTACCCGTATTTTTCAGACTATGACACATACTCCCCCACCTCCCGAAACTTGGGAGAAAAAAATGGTTATTAATACTGCTGTTGAGTTCTGTTTACATTTACATTGGTAAAATATTATGTTATTAAATATTTTACCACATATTTTGCTTCAAAATTCTTTTTTCCTATTTTCTTCCTCTACAACCTAGGTGCATCTTATGGTTTGAAAAATATGGTAACACATAATAAGCATCTGTCTGCTGGTTTGACCACTAAAAATTCCTAAGAAAATTCCTTTCCAAGTAATTGTGGGATCCTTTGCAATGTCTTTTCAGTCTTATCAATCATTGGAATGAGTGACCAGACCTTATTCTTTTTTCTACCAGCTTTACCTCCACAGACAGGAAGTATGAGTAGCCACTTAAGTCCTTCCAAGTTAGTGTCTAAGAGGCCACTGAGAGAGAACAAGGATTCTATTTCCATTCTTGTTTTGCAGCCAAGACTCTATCTTTAGCCTGTACCAGGAATACTCTATCCAGAAATGCCCTGTGAAAATAAGACCACTTTGCTTGGTTTGGGATCAAAGATCCTGAATATGGGTATCACCCCTGAAGTCAGCTCTGGCCGAAAGGACTGAGATGCCTGCGCATCTGGCTTTGGCTCACGCCCCTGTAAGTGTTTGCTGTGACCAAATGCTCCCAGGGAATCCCCATAACTACACACTTTGAAAATATCCCAGACCCTCACTATTTCCTTTGCACAAACCCCACTAACTAGGAGCCCAGAGCTGATGTCCCAGAGTAGTGACCCTGTTTTCCTCATGTATAAAGTTTTGAGTAAATGGGATAAAGGAGAAACCACTTTATAAATGCGGCCTCTAAGGTGGCCAAGATAATTCTGCACACACCAGGCAGGAAAGCCCAAGTTCCCCCAAAACAAAGTTTGAAATCAATACCAGTAATGGGCCATGTCCTAGAGTAACACTGTAAACTTGAGCAGCAGAAAAATTATGTGATTTCTCTAATAATAAAATGATAAATTATTTTTATTAAGTAGCACAACAATTATAACCATGATACTGGTAGCTAACACTTAGCAAATGCTCACCATGCACTGGATATTTTACAAGCATCTTCTGATTTAATATCCCAGTGGCTTATAAGTATATTATCTTTTACAGATGAGGATACTAAATAGCTTTGTCAATGTCACTCAAACTGGTTAAAGCATCAACCTGGGATTTAAATCCAGGCCTATATTACTTTATTCCTGAGTTTAGCATTCTACTTAAAAAAAAAAAAGAGGAAAATATCAATGTTACAGGTTATATTTTGGTTTAATTTCATGAGTGAATTTCAAGTTTATAATCCACAATTATTCAAAATTTTGTATTTGTCCATGTATGATTGCTTCCAACATCACATTCTCATTTATGATAATTAAACTGGACAAGAAAGTCTTATAATTATGCACTCAGCCAAGTACTTACATAGTCAATGGGCTGCAGGGATTTGATGGTAGATGTCGGGCAGCCGCAGGAAGTAAGGTCCGCATACAGGCCTTCTTCTAACACACACTGGTTATCAGAAATGTCCTCTTGGTAATACAGGAGCCAGCTAAAAACATAAGCGGGAGACAGTCAGCCTGCCTCAGCTGGCAGTGTTGCTGCCTCGTGAGGCTGTGGGAACTAGGGTAGGAGCACGGCACAAAAGTCACGGTGCCGATGAGCAGCAAATACTCACTGTTGCTCTAAAAGACACAGGCATCACTAGCATTTACTGACTGCTCACCATGTGCCAGACAGAGGCTGAATACTTTACATACATTATTTCACTGTGTCCTCCAAAATTCCATGAGATAAAACCATATTTTTACAGGCGACATAACGAAAGCTTGGAAAGGTTGTGTGATTTGCCCAAGGTCACACCAACTATTACGTGATAGAACTGAAATTGGAGAGAAGACATCTGTTTTAAGCTAAAGACATTAACTTTATTAAGTGCCTTCAAGGACAAAACTCTGGGATCAAATTATAGTGATTATTAAGGTCTGGAACCCATTTGAAGTCTTTTGAGGGAAAAATTAAAATTTGTGTCCTTATTTAACAATCAGCTTGCCTTCGGTCTGGGTGTGTTAGAAGCCAGACTTCTAAAATCGCACAGCAGTTTATAAAATCTGCCCCTGCACATTTGAGAGCTAACTAAGATTGCAAAAAAGAAATAAACCCTTTGGAATCCTTGATATTGAATTATCTTCAATTATCAAAGCTTGGTTAAGACACACCCTTTTGAAAAGGAGGAGCCCAAGAAATAAACGAATTGGCTGCTACTACGTCAGTTCTGGTGTGTTTAAGCTCTAGCCCTGCATTTTAAGAGGACCAGCACTGTACTCTGGCCGGACCAGGTCACCTTTGGAAAACCACAGACATGCTCTGTGACACTGTAACTCACTGTCATGTCTTCTGTATAATAATCATTTATAGCCAACATTTATCAAAAGGTTTCAGTGTGTCAGGCATGAAGTTTAGTAGAAGGAAGGAAATAAGCAAGATTAGAGCAGAATTAAACAACACAGAAGACTAAAGGCGAAATTCTAAGGATCAATAAATCTGGGTGATGGTTCTTTGAAAAGATAAACAAAATTGACAAGCCTTTAAGCAAACTCATCAGGAATGAAAGAGAGAGGACCTAAACACACACAATCAAAAATGAAAGAGGAGAGATTACAACTGTTACCACAGAAACACAAAGGATTGTAAGAAATTACCACAAAGAACTGTATGCCAAGAAATCTGAAAACCTACGTGAAATGGACACATTTCTAGAAAAGTATAATCTTCCAAAACTCAATGAAGAAGCAGGAAGCCTGAACAGACCAATAACAGCAGATGAAATTGAAGCAGTAATTAAAAAATTCCCGACACATGAAAGCCCTGGACTGGATGGTTTCACAGGAAAATTCCACAAAGCATTTAAGGAAGAGCTAACCCTTATTCTTCACAGATTATTCCAAAAAATCCAAAATGATGGAAGGCTCCCAAACTCTTTTTATGAAGCCAGCATCATCCTAATACCAAAACCAGATAAAGACACAACAAAGAAAGAAAACTTCAGGCCAATATCACTGATGAACATAGACGCTAAAATTTTCAACAAAATATTGGCAAACTGCATTCAGTAAATACATTAAAAAGATCATACACCATGATCAGGTGGGATTCATCCCAGGGATGCAAGGATGGTACAATATTCGCAAATCAGTAAATGTAATATATCATATAAACAAAAACAAAGACAAAGATCATATGATCACATCAATACATGTGGATAAAGCATTTGATAAGGTAGAGCACCCATTTATGATAAACACACTCAGCAAAGTGGGAATAGAGGGAGCATTCCTCAACCTAATAAAGGCCATATATGAGATACCTACAGCCAACATCATACTCAATGGGCAAAAACTAAAAACTTTCTCACTAAGATCAGGAGCAAGACAAGGTGGTCCACTGTCACCACTCTTATTCAATATAGTATTGGAAGTTTTAGCCATAGTGATCAGACAAGAAAAGGAAATAAAAGGCATCCAAATCAGAAAGGAGGAAACAAAACAGTCACTGTTTTCAGATGACATGATAGTGTACATAGAAAACCCTATATACTCCACCAAAAACTACTCAACCTAATAAATAAATTTGGCAAAACAGTGGGATACAAAGTCAATATACAGAAATCAAAGGCATTTTTGTATACTTACAATAAAATATCAGAAACAGAAATCAGGAAAAAAATCCCATTTGATGTAGCAACAAGAAAAATAAAATACTTAGGAATAAGCCTAACCAAGGAGGTAAAAGACCTGTACTCAGAAAACTACACAACACTGAAGAAAGAAATTAAGGAAAACACAGACATATAGAAACATATACCATGTTCATGAATTAGAAGGATTTAGCATCATCAAAATGTTCATACTACCCAAAGCAATTTATAGATTCAATGCAATACCTATTAAAGTACCAATGGCATATTTCACATAGAACAAACACTTCAAAAATTTATATGGAACCATAAACGACCCCGAATAGCTGCTGCAATTTTGAGAAAGAAGAGCAAAGTAGGAGGGATCACAATACCTGATGCCAAACTATATTACAAGGCCACTGTAATCAAAACAGCTTGGTACTAACATAAAAATAGACACATGGACCAATGGAACAGAACAGAGAGCTCAGAAATAAACCTATGTCTCTATGGTCAATTAATATTTGACGAAGGGGGCAGCAACATAAAATGGAGTAAAAATAGCCTCTTCCAAAAATGGTGTTGGGAGAGCTGGACAGCTACATGCAAAAAAACAAAAGACTTTGATGAATTACTAGGTAGATATCTGATACACAGACATGCCACTGAACTGTACATTTAAAATAGTTAATATGGTAAATTTTATGTTATGTATATTTTACCCCAATAAAAAGTCAGTACACAAGACTATATATATACACACACATATACACATATGTAACTATGTATTAGCCTTGAAAATTATACACAGTTTCATATACATGTGAGAAAGATCCGGTATGTTGTAAGAATATAGGATTTAATAAAAATGAGCAAAGCTGTCCTGGGTCTGACGTTTGGTGCCCGACCTTGGGGAAACCCCAACTCCGAACTGGGGACCCTCATTTGTGAAATGGGGATGATAAAGACTTTAAACAAATGAGATTTTTAAAATTTAGGACTGTCTTATTTGAACAAAAACACTGATTTTTTATAGCATCCTATTATACTATACAATAAACATACAATATAAACATTCAAAATATTTACAAAACAATGTAACGGTAAGAAAAAAAAATCACCGAAATGCCCCACGGTGGGCTAAGCAGCAATTCTGCTTCTGTTACACACTGGTTCCCACTGTGAGTTGGGCAAAGTTAATATAGGCGAATTAGCAGTGAATGAACAAAAAGCTTTTTTTATTTCACTATGCATGCAAAAAGTAATACCAGTCAAATCTCTGTAAATTTGCAAAGACATTTAGTTGTTAAATAGAAAACAATCAGCATACTTACCAACCCCGAAGAACTTTGAAAGAACATGGTGTAAATGAAGTCAAATCAGAAATTTCTTTCGTAAAATCTACACATTCACCTTGGAACCCTGGTTTACTGAATGCTTTGAGCTAAAAAACAAACAAAACCCACAGTTATAGAGAAAACAACTGTTTGATACCATCGCAAAGCAAAATAAAACCTTTAGTTTCACATCCTTAGAAAAATTTCAGTGAAATATTAGACTCAAGTTTTGTCTATATTAATTAACTCATATTAAGATAACATTTTCCTTAAACTCGCCTTTCTTTCCCTTACATGTTTTCAGGAGTGCCATTATTCATTTACCATTTTCATACATCTCTTGCACAAAATACTGGGCACAGAAGCCCCCAAACAATTCTACCTATAAGAGTAAGTCAGAATCCCTCCTCCACTACAATGTGGTCCTTACCCACTGCATCAACAATTATCGTCCCCTGTGATGAGACTACAGGTACACAATAAATAGCAATCAATTTGGGGCTATACATAAAGGAGGTTTGGACTGGTATGAGGGGTGGCTGGTACATCTTTTCTCTCTTGCAGTCTTCCTGATCCACAGGTAATAAAAGGCAGGAGAGGAGAGCCCATTAAGTGAGCAGGAGCAGCTGGTGGAGATGATAATGATGGGATTAGTGGAAGATTTACAGCAGAGGAAGAAAGAGGTCTGTGTCTTCTACTTCAGCTTATAGGATTTGGTTCGCTGATAAGAATACCGTAAATGTACAGCTTGCAGTTATATACAACTACATTTTTACTTTTGTTCTGTCAAGAAAAATCCATGAAATCTCAGGTATAATTCCCTTTAGGCCAGAGATATAATACTGGGATTCTAGCGACCATGGACCTACGATAGGTGAGCAAAAATTAATGAGCCCTATAAATACTTCATAATACATCAGAGCCTTGAAATAACTGGGCCACAGGTCTGCCCAGCACTGACGAGCCCGCACAGTAGCTAAAAAAGCACCTAGTGAACCGTCTGTGGCATCACCCCCTCTCCTGGTCACACTGCCGTGGAGAATGAGGCTTCTTTGAGCTGCGGATGTTCGCCTCCTTCGCCTTCCTCAGGGTGGCCTTTGAGTCAATGGTCTGAGTTAACGAGGAATTCTTTCTTGACTATAGCATTCTACTTTGATGTAGCTTAGTGTGACATCAAAGATTAGCCAAAACCAGGGAGGTGAGAGAACAAATTCGCCCCGACCATCCGTGGCCTGCACATGACTTTCTACTGTGAAACCAGGCTGTATTTGTTGTTTGTATTTAAAACTTTTATTTTTTATTGTATTTTTCCCACTACCCTTCAGCCCCCTTATACACTCCTCCCCGCTGCAATCGCCGCACTGTTGTCCGCGTCCATGAGCCCTTTTTCCCTCTGCTCAGTCCCTCCGCCTCCTGACACTTGCACGCCCCTCGGATCTGTCAGCCTGCTCCATCTCTGTTTTGCTTGTTAGTTCAGTTTGTTCATTGCATTCCACACATGAGTAAAATCATGTGGTATTTGTCTTTATTCTAATTCTGGTTTCCACCCTCCCAGCAGCCGAGCAGCAAGTCCTCCATGTGAGGAGAATCTGGAAAGCACCTCACACTGCCGCTCACGTCATGGTTAAAGAAAATCAAGCTGCTTGAAAGCACAGATTTTTTTTTTCTTCTTAATCCAAGTGTGGAACCAGGAGCATTAAAACACCAAGGGACTCCCTGACGTAAGGAGGTGTGAACCAGCAAGTTTCTACCAGGGTCCTTTTGGTGCATACAGCAGACAGCAGCAGAAAGGACGTCCCAAACAAGACAGACTTCGGAACAATTTCCTGTGTCCGAACAATTCTGCATGTCCAAGGAAACTGCCCCAAAATTCCTTGTTAAGAGAAGGTATTTCAGTTAGTAGTTTTTTTCAGGCTATTTTTTTAACTTAAAGGTTTATAAAACATGTGTCTAAAAGTAAATCACACACATTTTACTTCCAAAAGTGTAATGTTTCCTACATTATCTTACTTCACAATAAGAGCTGGAAAAGCCATGAGAACAGAGGTCACGACCACTTGATTCACTGCTTGTATTCCCATCGCGTTGAAGTATAAATGTACTTCAATATTTTGACATGAAGTGTCAAGTCCTGGACAACTGGCAATGTGAGCTAAATACGTTTCAGTTGATATGTACAGTATCCACCTCTACTTTTAGTCTGCTTTCATACCCAGAAGCATTAATTAAAATTCACACACACACACACACACGCTCGATATGCCATAAAGCAGCTTTTTGATTTATGGGTTAATTATTCTTCACTCAAACTAAAAAACAGGGCTTAATGTCGGTCTGAGTTTATGAGATTTGGTTCCTCCAAAATCTGAGCAACACCAGAAAAGTAACACCTCATTCTGACCACCTTACAAATGCTTCAGAGCAGTTCTCATAATAATGTTCTGGGCATGGTCCCCACAGAAATCAACATGGCACTTACAACTTGCAATAATTAAGCTGTGGTTTCTGCTCGTGGTGAAATTAAGTCCTGTGATATGCTAGCTGGATAATTATTTTGGTTTCCTTTCTAAATTGCTGTAGAACAAATGCACAAAACAACTCAGAGAGGCTGCTTAGAACATAGGTAAGAAGTCAGATAAAGAGATTCCTTCAAACGACACCAGCCCTCTGAGCCATCTGGGTGTGGTTCAATTCCTACCAGCCCCTCAGGTGGACGTGAATGGAGGGAGAAAAAGACACTGCACTACTGGTTTGCAAGGTGCCTTTTCTCATGTATTACCTTATTTCTTCTTTAAAACTATTCTTTGAGGCAGAAATTATCGACATTTTATGATGGTTTGCAGAAATGCTTTTTACTATGGACTCTTCATTTATGATATATATGAATAAATGTAACAGGTCTAACAAACTAAATATGACAAACTAAAACCTCAAGAGCTAATTAACTGACCAAACAGAAGTTGTACTCAATTTATCCACAATATCAGAATTTTAAACCATACTTTATTTAATCCAGTATTAAAAATAGTTCTATGAGAAACATTCTACAGTTTGAAAAAGACTTTCTGCTGCCTCCAATCTTGTTAAAATACTTTATTGATTATGCTATTACAGTTATTTTTTCTCTCCCCTTTATTCCCCTCCACCCTGCACCCCCTCCCACCATCATTCCCCCACCTAAGTTCATGTCCATGGATCATACATATAAGTTCTTTGGCTTTTCCATTTCCCACACTATTCTTAACCTCTCCCTGTCTATTTTGTATCTACCATTTATGCCCCTTATTCTCCATATCCCCATTTCCCCCTGCCCTCTCTCCACTCTATTTCTCTATTTGTGATCTCTATTTCTGTGATTCTGTTCCTGATCTAGATGTTTATGTAGTTTTTGTTTTTTTAGGTTCGGTTGTTGACAGCTGTGAGTTATCATTTTATCATTCGTGTTTTTGATGTTTTCCTAAATAAGTCCCTTAAACATTTCATTTAATAAGGGCTTAATGAAGATGAACTCCTTTAACTTGACCTTACCTGGGAAGCACTTTATCTGTCCTTCCATTCTAAATGATAGCTTTGCTGGATAGAGCAATCTTGGATGTAGGTTCTTGTCTTTCATGACTTGGAATACTTCTTTCCAGCCCCTTCTTGCCTGCAAGGTTTCTTTTGAGAAATAGGCTGATAGTCTTACAGGAAATTCTTTGTAGGTAACTCTCTCCTTTTCTCTTGCTGCTCTTAAGATTCTCTCCTCTTTAATCTTGGGTAATGCAATTATGATGTACCTTGGTGTGTGCTTCCTTGGGTCCAACTTCTTTGGGACTCTCTGAACTTCCTGGACTTCCTATTTCTTTCTTCCAACTTTCTGGAAGTCTATTTCTTTTTCTAGATTGGGGAAGTTCTCCTTCATTATTAGTTCCAATAAGTTTTCAATTTCTTGCTCTTTCTCTTCTCCTTCTGGCAGCCCTATGATTCGGATGTTGGAACATTTAAAGTTGTCCCAGAGGTTCCTAAGACTCTTCTCATATCTTTAAATTCTTGTTTCTTCATACTGTTCTCATTGAATGTTTATTTCTCCCTTCTGGTTCAAACTGTTGATCTGAGTCCTGGTTTCATTCCTGTCACTGTTGGTTCCCTGTATATTTTCCTTTATTTCACTTTTCATAGCCTTCACTTTTTCCTATATTTTGCAATCATATTCAACTATTTCTGTAAGCATCCTGTTACCAGTGTTTAGAACTGTGCATCTGATAGGTTTGCTATCTCTTCATCACTTAGTTGTACTTTTTCTGGAACCTGTGACCTGTTCTTTCACTTGCGCCATATTTTCTGTCTTGGCCTGCATGTTAGATAGTAAGGGGCAGAGACTTAGGTATGTGTCAGGGTGGGGAAACCCACTTCGATCTGCAGTGGCACTGCTGTAGAGGAGGGGCCCAAGAAGGAACAATGCCACTTGCTTAGCTCTTGGTTGGCTTTCAGTCACTTCTCCCACTACCCACAAGCAAATTGGTCCCTTCTGGTGCTGATTCCCAGGTGGGTTGTTTTGTGTATGTTCTAGGACGCAGTGGGTCTTGCCAGTGAACTCTTTTGTGAGGCTGGGAGTTTCTCCCCATGCCACAACCCTCACAGGTTTTTACAGCCAGAGGTTTTGAGACTTTATTTCCCCACACTGGAACCCTGGGTTGTGTGGTCGGTCTCGCTCCCCAGTTGTTCCTCCTGGTTTATCCACACACAAATGTGGGACCTCCTTTCTGCCAGCCACCACCTCACTTGTCCTGGTCCTCCAGCTGCCCCCTTGCTGCACATCCTCTCCACCCCCGCTGCCCATCTCTGCCCCTTGTACTGGTCTGGACAAATGTTTCTTCTTTAACTCCTAGGAAGTCAGACTTCCTAGTTTGATTTTCTGGCAGTTCCGGTTATTTTTTGTCTTTAAATTTGTTGTTGTCCTTCGTTTGGTTGTGCTAGGAGGCAAATCTTAGCCAAAAGTCTTGTTGCCAATCTTCTGTCACATCACACTGCTGCATATTGTCCTGTTACCTACTTTTCCTGTCAATTACATATTCTACAATAATTGTACTTCCCTGATTATGTAGAGAAGGGCGTTTTTTTTCTTGGAGCAGTAGTGCTTCTTCCTGAGTATCCCCAGCCTTTGGATTCTATAAGGATAATTTGGTTACAGCACTGCTCTTGAATCCTACTGATACTTGACTAAAACTGTTGTTTGCCTGTCCCCCATCGATGATAACAGTAAGCACAACTATTTTTAAAGACCCTGTAATCAGCCCTGACTCGGTTTGATTGCCAGTCAGGGTACACGCCTGGATTACAGGTTTGGTCCCTGGTTGGGGTGCGTACAAAGGCAACCAATTGACATTTCTCATTTACATAATGTTTCTCTCCCTCTCCCTCCTTGCCTCTCTATATAAATAAATAAAATAAAATAAATTCTATCGTCACTCTAAAATTCAATGTGGCTAAACTATGCAACACAGGAAACATGCAGTTGCTTTTTCTCAGCCAGAATCACACATGAAATGGAACAGGGGCTCAACACTTAAAGAAATCCAAACTTCTGATTATGAAGGGAGACTACCAAAAAAAGAAATTTATGAAGAATTGCGTATTTATTCTGACATGTTTAAACTTGAGTCACCTCAAAGTCCTCTCCATCTGATGCAATACACCTGTCAAGATGTTTCTCCCACTGCTCAAAACAGTTTTGAACTCTTCAATTTTAATGCCTTTCAGTGCTTCTGCTGTGTGGTTTCGCCTTTCATACATCGGGAAAACATTTCCCTTTGAGGACTTTTTTCACCGGCAGATACACAAAAAAGTTGATTGCAGTGCCACTGGGAGAATAGGGAGCACGCGGCAGCGAGTTCATGCTGGTTTTGGTCAAAAACTGCTGAACACTCAGCACCGTGTGGGCAGATGTGCTCGTAAATCCCCCAACATGAGATGGGCAAACACACAGAAAGAGTCCTAAAAAAAATTCACTGAAGCCGAATGCAGCGTCTCAGAACACCAGCTGGCACAGATACAGACGGGTTCTGAGCACACTCGCCTGACAGGGGAAGCCTGCACTGCAAGGGGCCCGCCCTCCAGAAGATGAATCCATTTTTCTTGAGCAGTCTCCCCTCATCTATTTGTGAATAGACTTGAAAAAGATTCTAGAAAAGCAAAGTCCTTGGTTGGATTGAAGGGGAAACTGCTTAGAACTTCCAGAGAACAGTGCCTGACTGCAAACTTCTTGAAAAATGGAACCCACTGGTATACGATTTAACTCAGGGAAATTTCTGATTTGGACTTGCTTGGGGGCCGGATGATGATGGCACTGTGAACATGATCCACATGGTTTGTACTTCGTTTTGTTTGGAGGAAAAAAATAAAAGGACACTTGCTGAATAAGGAGAACTCTGTGATGATCCTTTATATTTTGAGTTGACAATTAGACTTGGTGATTGAGTCAAAAATAATCTTCTTAAAAAAGGTGTTCTACACATCAGTATTCTTATTAGCATAATTCTCATGCTGTATATTAACCTTTAAACACAAACATTTTCTGTTTTTTCCTTTCTTAGGATGCTTGAAGTTCCCTTTTAAACCATTAGCATTAAAAAAAAAATCCTGTCTTCTGACTTGAACTCGGAAATGTAACTTCCTTCTCATTTGGCAGACAGAAAAAAAGCTACTTCATCTGAACACAGCATCTAAATTGTCAATCTGACAATCACAGCTACTTGTAAAGAAGAAAATACTTTTTAGGTACTAATGGAACCGGAGTGTCAGCCAATGCTTTTGTTTTTACTTGGGTAAGTAAAGACAAAACATTCTGGAAATCTGGTCCAGTGGAACTAAGAGCTGTGATACAGGGTAAACTGAGGGGGCTTTGTCTGTGTGTTACCAAAGACCCATCTATTGACCTGTCAGAAACGTTCATTTCACTGGGCATTTTTTTGCTGCTTCCTTTTCTCTTCAAGTTGGACTGGAAACACTATGAAGAAACTCCTCTGAGCAATCTGCCCCACACAAGGAAGTCCATAAAAAAAAATAAAAAACAGGGACGCAGGAGGGGGGACGGAGAGCTTCAAAGAATGTGACTTATTTGTACTTAAAACTCGGAAAATATGCAGTTAGGAATGATCTCGGTTTAACTCCTTAACTACTTAAGTTATGTTGATTCATGTTAAAAAGTGCTTTAAAAGTCCACAGTTGGAGTTTACAAACATTCAAAATAAATATCTGGCAGGAAGTGTCTCCAAAGCAACAGCTGGATTATACAGGGTGGAGCAAAGGCCGGGCTACAGTTGTTGGTTTGGAAAAAGACAAGCAGATTATGGTTATTACAAAAGCTTTATTAACTCTGTGTTTTGTGTATTCACAACTGTACACCTACTTTTGCCCCACTCTGTTTTTAGAAAGGAAATGTTCCTAATAGGCCTGAGTTAATCATAAAATAAAACCTGAACACATTGTGAATTGAAACATGACTTGACTAAACTGATTTGAAATATACAAACACTGACACAAACATGAAAAACATATAAACTCAAAGAGAAATATTCAGCACTATGTAAAGCTAGCAAATGTTGAATAATTAAAATGAGTCAATATATTTGACTTTACAACAGAAAAACTTCTAAATTTGTTATTCAAAACTAGACAGAGGGAGTAATCTCTCATCCCCTCTTCCTTCTATAGCTGGGCTGCTCATACGACGTGTCTTTCTTCATGTAAAATCCTGAAAATGTGGTTAAGTTGCGTCAGATACTAGAAAATGCCTACTCTGCTACTTCTTGTTGTGTGAAATGACACAAATTCTAATTCTCAGTAAGCTCATCGATAAATGGGATTAATCCTGACCTCACAGAGTGGTTAGAAGCACTAAATAAACACAACTTCAATTTCATCTTTTTCAACCAGCCCCGTAACCTCCCTCCCCTCTGACAGCTGTCAGTTTGTTCTCTGGGTCTGTTTCTATTTTGCTAGTTAATTTTGTTTATGAGATTCCACATGTAAGTGAACACATATGGTACTTGTCTTTCTCCAACTGGCTTAAATTGGTGAAGGGATTAAGCTAAAAACAAAAACAAAAGCAAAAACAACCTCACAAAGACAGACAACAGTACGCTGACTACCAGAGGGCAAGGGAGGCGGCGGCGGGTTGAAGAGGGTAAAAGGGATAAGCGGTGACGGAGGGAGACTTGACTTGGGGCGTGAACACACAATACAATACACAGACGATGCATTACAGAATTACACACCTGAAACCTGTATAATTTTATTAACCAATGTCACCTCAACTAATTCTATTTAAAAAGTGAAAAAAAAGTATAATTTGTAGCCCTCAATGAATAATAAACAAACATTAGGCTCCAGAGTATTGCCTAATCCTTCAAACCACTAACACTAGAAATAAAGAAGGTTGCAATTTTACTAGTGCTTTAAAAAAATCTGACTTAGGTATTAGAAATACGTGTACATTAATACACACTCCAAGACTGCGATCGCTCCATGGTCAGCTTGCTCCTCCCGAGGCAGCAGAATATACTGTGCTGACTAAGAACAAAACACTCAAGAACAGAAGGGCAACAGGGAAGAGTCGCAGAGGTTCCAAATGACCCTGAAGTGAACCTCTAACACACAGGCGGCCAACACAAGGCCTGCGGGCTGAATCTGGCCCTTCACCTTGTTTTATCTGCCCCAGTACCTTGTTTCTACCTGGTGACAGTGTCGACCTCTTAACTGTTGAGGAGTAGTTCCATTTACACAGTCCTAACAGTACATTCATTCCTTTGAAGGCAACTGCAAGTCTGATGTGGCCCCTGGTGAAAATGAGTTTGACACCTCTGCTCTAAAAGAAGAAAACAAAAGGAACTGGACAAATCCAGGCAAGAACCACCTTGTAAGAAAGGTGGGCACTCTCAGGCTCACAGGTGCCAGGCACAAGGCAAACAGCCCTGACATACGCAAGACAGTTATCTGAGGGAAAGGGCATAGATGCTTTTAATAAACAATTTAACAAGCCCAAGGTAAGGCTATTTTTAAACATACCAGGTATGGAGGCTCATTTATTCCAAGTGGTTCCTGAAAAACATCAAAACATTAAACAAATTATCACCATATAATTTTAGTTGTCTTTTGAAAGTTTTGTAAATATTCTTTCTTGGGGGAGGTGGGGAAGGTCTAGCCAATTTACTAGATTCCTTGACTTGGCCATGACCCTCATAACTTAATGAATTCTCTTGTAATAACTTTGTATTTATTACTAATTCACTTTGAGCAATACTGTAGCAAGGAGAAAAATGTGCCCCAATACCCATTCAAACAAGAGCCTGGACTTTCCACCACTCCCTTCCCCATGACTGTCTCATGGGTACCCACACTGTCCTGCAGTGTGTTACCACCCAAGCTGTTTGTGGAACACCCTTTCTGCCCCCCTTCCATGCCTGGGAAATTGTCTTTGCCCTTTAAGATATCACTCAGTGCATCCTCTTCTGTGCCCAGGTGGCCAGGTGCCCAGGCGCTGAGTGCTCCCTTTCCCCTGCTCCCCTTCCACTGCTGACGCACTTCATCTTCTCACTCATAACTCTACAATCAATTGTCCAAACATCTATCTCCTCAAAGAGACTGAGACTCATCAGGGAAGTCTTTTCCATCTAAGTCCAGTGAACCAGTAGTGTCTGGCTTATAAAAGGCACTAAATAAATGCTGCTCAAGGAACGAACTGTAAAAACTACAGACCCACTTCATCAATGGGCTAATACCACATACAAGCTCTCTATGGAGTCTCTAGGAATTCATATGCTGTTTCCTTTTCTCTATATATACATATAACATAGTTCAACAATTCCACTTTTAAAAAGCTGGTTCCACATGTTCAGTTGTATGCCATTACACACCACTGGCATTAGTTATGTTCACACTTAACTCACCAGTTGGATAGGTCGTATTGACATGATTATGTTATTTGATCCTCCCCAGTCAAAAAAGCATTTGTATTTCCCTTTCTCTAAAATGTACTGTTCTCCACAGAAAAACTTCTGCTGGTAGGCAACCCATCTAGTAGGGGAAAAAGGAAAAAGAACAGTGGTGATGTAGAACTGAGCAGCCAACAGTTTTAAATACCAAAGAATCGCTCAAGGTTCTCTGGGTGGAAGACAACTTACACTCCACTTTTAACATGAATGGATCTTGTTTCAGTGCCAAAGCCAATTTCTTCTAAGTCAGAGATTTCCTGATTTCTGATCTCGATAAATTTTCCACTTTCCAGGTCAGATTCAAACAGTGTGATGGAAGATTCTATAAAATTCTACAAAGAGGAAGAGGAAAAGTTTAGAAAAATGTGTGCATTTTGTTTTACAGATTGCTAAATCTCTGCACAATTTTCACATACTTGTGGGATAATTTTCACATACGTAGCTCCAGGAAGAATTTTAAATGGCACTGGAAACAATTTTAATAGTCACTATTCCTACATACCAGTAGTTTTTAAAAAAAGCCTCAGTGTTTACTTTAATCAGAAAAACAGAACATTTTTTATAGAAATGGAAATCAGTCAACAGCTGGTAAATTGCTAGGACTTAGAGGCTACCATGTAAAACACCAATTGGAAAGAAACTAAACTCTTGTAACTAAAGACCAAAAGCTACATGAAACAAAATGGGCAAGGAGGGAGAGGATTTTATACACTTAAATGAAACAGGAAAAAAAAGTCTGCGTGACAAAAGAAAAATTACTAAAAAATTAGAGAGAAAATTTAAAAAATTTCTAGTCAGAGAACATATTTGAAGCAAAATTATCAGAAAAACTCTAAGAACCCAAATTAATAAGTCAGCAAAAAACACAGACAATTCACAAAAAGTTAAAAACAAGCAAAGGTCTAATTTCACTAGTAATAATAAATTCAAATGAAAACAACCGACACAATGATCACTTTTTAAATGAAGAAGGACCTTAAAATCCAGTTGTGTCTGGGAACACTGCTGGTAAAAATACACATTGGACAGCTATTTTAGAAAATAACTTAGAAATATGTTAAAAGACTGAAACTATTCACACTATTTGAGCCTAAAATTAATTCCTTTTTGAATTTCTTAAAGAAAGTAGACAGCAGGCAATTTATATGCAAAGATGCATTAGTTGTAACAGTGAAAAGCTGTAAACAATGTAAATGTCCAAAAGATGTATAAAGATAAACTTGTATGCACCTACCACTTGAGGGAATAAATATAAAGGGTTTTTTTTACAAGCTAACAGTTAAATATATCCTATACTTACTACTGACCAGGAGTTTTATGTGCACTGTTTTCAAAAGAGCCACCACATGAGATTATATTATTATCGCACCCATTTTACAATTAAGAAATTGAGTGATTATAATTATACTGGGTAATACACATATTAATATATGTATATGAGTATATACACACTTTTATAAAAACATATCTATGTATCTGCCATTTTGCATATGCAGAAACCAAGGCTTTAATAAGCCCACTAGTGATCTGCCTTAAAGTACCCAGAATAAGCCTCCCAACTGGAGTATGTTTATAGCCTGGGTGCCACATCAACACACTCGGCTGTATTGACAACACACGCTTCCATCACCTAAGTACCCAAACATGCCTTTGGCTCTTGCAACCTGAAAATGTGTAATTAGCTCGGGGCAGCTGGGAAGCAGAATCAACAGCCACCAACCAAGCCAGGTCCCAAAACGGTGGGCAGGCCTTTAGCAGCTCTGTTACACGGGCCTCTCCTGTCACTCCTGTGACTCTGGGAAGCTCCACCTCTGCTTCTACTTCTTCTGCCTCCACGCCTGCCTGTTCTCTACTCCCTGTTGGGGTTTTTGGAATGGAGGAGCAAGGCCAAGATGAAAAAATGCCATGGGTCTGTCACTGTATTATGCTGGAGTCAAATGGGACAAAGAAAAACATATACAGATTTGTGCCTGTGTACGCTGTTTGTGCCCTTTCATGACCATAACTTGTGTTGTGGAGTGAGGTACTTGGCCAGAGCAGTGATCTGCACGGAACTCACTGTGTGGGCTGTAGGGGAGGGACAGCAGAGGGGAGGGTGAGCTGGGAAGCAGGCTGCAGGCACAGGCCACTTGGCAGCAATGCAGCCCGGAGTCAAGTGCAGAGGAGGACTCCACTGTCACAGGGTCCGTAGTGAAGCAAGGGTGTTGACAGCACAAGTTCACAAATAAATTTACTCCCATGGCTTGAGTCTGTGTCCTTCCTGCTCTGTCTCCAATCCCCAGAGACTTCGCCAAGGGCCGCAGGCATCTCCTAAGTGGTCGCTCTCCTCTACTCACGGCTTTTTGTGCCTTACAGCTTCTGTCTTCCATCTTTTTCTAAGTGCCCCCTGCACCACTCCCCTAGTTTTGACCCCCTCTCCATTTTCCCCCAGACCTGCCAAATATACAGTATCTGATCTAGTTGACTAGTTGCCATCAATATGGTGGCCCTTTTGGGCAGAGTCCTAACAAAAAAAACTTTTAGCTGTCTTGTTCAGGAGGTGACTGCAACAGGCACTCAGAGTCCTGTCCTGAGTAAGCCCTTCGAGGTTCCTCTGTCATTGCCATCCCCACTTTCTTGGTCATAATTAAATCACTTTGAAAGTTACGCTGATTCCAGTGGAGCTCCACAGCTCAGGAAGAATGAATAAGGATGGAATGACCTCAAATTTATATCCCCTTTTATTTTTTTAAAGCACTTAAACCCACTTATACTTTAATATAGTCTCAGGCACAGTATTCCCACTGCTAGAGAAAAGCAACGAGCCGTTGCTGCAGGACCAAAGATAAGTCTTAAGGATTAGCAGTTTGACTATTTTGAAATTCCATAAACTCCTTCAGCTGGCTGGGCCCCAGAGCTCTCATTCTCCCCGCCACACACACACACCCTGGGGGCGACATAACAAGACACATGTGCAGATCTAGTGCATCCATTAACTTGGGAGCAACACTGGTCTCTGCTGCGTTCCACCTGGTTTCAGAGACCTGAAAAGGGGCCCCAAATCTGAAAACCACCACAAAAGCAAATCCAAAACAGCTAGTAAGAAACTGAGGGGAAACAAGTCTACCAAGACAGTTTTGTTGAGGAAGCCAAGGAATAAAAATTCCTTCTTTAGTCCCTGGAGTCTAAATACTGCTATATTCCTTCTGGTCTTGTCCTTTAGAGATAATCAAGTCCAAGTCAACACATCCGCCTGACTCATTTGGAGTTAGGAACACATTTCTGATCGTACTCTCCCCAGCACTCCGGGACACGGCCCACGTTATCCCCAAGGAATTCGTCCAGGATTTGACCTCAGTAGCTCTGCAGTGTTCTGCGCCCTGGAGCCAGGACGTGAGGAAACCGCACTGTACTGTGTGGTTTTTCTCTCTATCGTCTTATTTATTTTGTGCTACTTCAACCTACATCTTCAGTGCAGCAGTTCGCTCGCTCCAAGGTTAGAGACGCCTGAGAGCCCTCGTGGGGAGACCACGCCTCACATCAGTTCTGCCTGACACCGTGCGTGGGTCTGTGACAACCACAAAGTTGGAGCTCCTCTATCTACATACGGTCTTACATACTTACACTTTTTAAAGAGGGTAGACCTTATGTTAAGTCTTTTTTTATCACACACACAAATAAGTAGTAAAGGGGGTGGAAGGAAACTTGGGGAGGTGATGAATATGTCAGTGGCCTTGATGGCAGCGATGGTTCGACAGGCGTTGACTTATCCCCCAACTCACTTAGTTGTGCACATTAAATACAGGGTCCCGCACAAATAATGCCCCTTTTTTTATTACAAACTCTTTTATTACAAAACCATAAGCATGTAATTCTGTAACATAACAATATCACATTCAAGCACGCCAAGTGACATTTTAGGTGAAATGTTCAAATTAAAACTACAAATTATTACACCCATATTATTACCCTACCGACCACACTCAAGTAGGCCTTACTTCTGCCGGGCCTGATGTGTACAGCTTTGTAGATGTCAATCATGCCTCAACAAAACAGATTTTAAAAAAAGAGAACTGCCTAATTACATGCTGTGTCTAGCTTGTAACATTTTTTAAAAGTGTATCTTGATAAGTTTTTAAGAATTTTTTCTTAATAAAGTTTGGCCTTATTTTTTTAAATTTAATTTATTTATCTTTAGAAGGGAAGGGAAGGAAAGAAGGAGAGAAATATCAATGTATGGTTGCTTCTGGTGCATCCCCTGCTGGGAACTGGCCCCTGCTGGGAACTGGCCTGCAACCCAGGCATGTGCCCTGACAGGGAATCGAACCGCAATCTTTTGGTTCGCAGGCCCATGCTCAATCCATTGAGCTACACCAGCCAGGGCTTAAGGAATTTTAATAATGTATTTAAAATCTAAATTTTCTAAATACATAATTTTTTAAGTATATTTCATCTACAAATATTTTAGTGAACATAAATTTAAATTATAACTAAACTGAAAGTTCATGTAAGCTATTATTTATTTTATACATGTGCATTATTCTGCAATGTGACCATACATTTATAGTTATGAATGAAATGCTAATCAACCTTTGGTTGAACGAGATCCAGTTTTCCACGTTAAGGTGTTACTTTAGGCTAAACCACTTTGTAAATGAGGAAAGTGGATGATATGGTGGAGGCTCCCGAGTAAGGCAGGCTCAATCACAGCTTCACCGCGGGCTCAGCCCCTTGGTGCCTCGGTGTCTGTGCCTGCACGACAGGGCTCACTCACGAGTGGCTCGCTGCCTTTGTGAAGGCGAACTGTCAGCGGGCATGTAGCAAAGTGTTAGAATACGATAGTGAGGGCCGTGCAAACATCTTTAGCTATAACCCAACTACTAATCTTAATTAAAACAATCTAATTTAAAGAGAATAGAAGATTTTCTTTGAAGGGTACTTTTACTCATTTACATAAAAGCTGAGTGCCATCATTTTGGTAAATGCTGTGAGTTTTGTGTGCAGCACTAATACATGCTGATCTATGCCAGTTTTTCCAATGGGTATTATCATAGACTACATCAAACATTTCTTAATTATTTAGCTATACAGGATGGGGAAAAGTAAGTGTACACTGTTTCCTTTTGAATATAATAATAATTAATAAATAATATAAGAATAATAATTAGTGTATTCAAAAGTAGATACAACTGTGAGCCTACTTTTGCCCCACCCTGTATAGTTAGTTATAAGTATTCATATCTTTTTACATTTTCTACTATTGGTAGATTTCAACTAGTGACAGGAGGGCTTTTTTTTGTTTGCACGCTTCCTTCTCACCATGCCATTTCTTGAATCGGTCACCAAAAAAGAGCCTTCTAAACTGCTAATCAGACTCACTAGGTCTCAAATCCCTGAGTGGCTCATGGTAAAGTCAATAAAAAAACCCCTGAACTCCTCCCCCTGGCATATAAGGCCCCTCACTACCTGGTTCTGCATGCGTCTTTCCAGAGTTCTCCCTGACACGCTGACATGGATGCACTTCCCAGACACACCCCCTCTTACTTAACATGGCAGTGTCTCAACCTCAGCACTGTTAACTTTTAGGTCAGATGACTCCTTCTTTGTTAGGGGGTGGGAGTAGGGAGTTGTCCTGTGGACTGCAGACATTTATCAGGATCCCTGGCCTCTACCCACTACATGTCAGTAGCTCCCCCACCACGTCCCCCATCCCCGGCCCACACACCATGACAGTGCAAACTTTCTGCAGACACTGCCAACGCCCCCCAGGGGTTAAAACCACCTCAAGCTGAGAACCACTGGCTGACATCCTTGCCTTTTGGCATGTTAATCTCTTGCTAAAACTGCACCTACCTTTCCCCTTCACCCTGTCCTGAGTATCTTCACTTGGCTAACGGCCGAACTTGAAATTTCAACTCAGCTGTCATCTTAACCTCTTCTCACTTCCAGTTAGGAGTAACTGACCTTTTTTTGACTACCCTGAGCACTTTGCGCTCAATCCAATCAGTCAAACGATATTAAACATTTATATAAGTATTGTTTCCCTGCCAGAGTCCTGCTCTGTGAACCAGGGACTGTCTCTGGCCACTGTATCTCCAGTACCTGGCACAATACAGTTATCACAGCAGGTGCTCGAAGAATGTAGAGTCAATGGACGAAAAAGTAACAGTACCATTCTGGAGTGATAATGTCAGTTAGAACAGGCAAGTCACATAAGCAGTTCAGTCTTGTGCCCTCTGGTTTTAGAAACACTTTATAACCTCATGTTCTTCAGAGATCATGTCCAAGTTTTATGGAAAGATACAGAGAGAGAAATTAAGAATTTGGGAGCTAACTCACAGCTTGTAAGTACCGGAAAGACAAGATGGGGCCACTCAATGCCCTGCAAGCAGTACTGTCTTCAAAATCTCCTTCTTCAAGCAAGAACTGCTGGCCTTTAAAGTGTTCTTTTTCATAGGCAACCCACCTAGAAATACACAGGACACCAACTGAGCCATTAATAAAACTGTAGTCAAGAAAACACAAAAAAAATTGTGAGAAAGCACCTCGTTCCACATCACCATATTTTAAAAAGCAACACATTTATTTTGCTACCATTTACAAAGACATGTTGTCTGCATCCCGGACCAATAATTTTTAGAGTCGGTGGTTTGGAGGCTCTTCCCAATGAAAGGTTGACTTTCACTGCGAGAGTTACAGAATTGCAACAAAGTAACGGGCATTACATTTATGCGGTGTGGCCTCAAAATGGCTGCAGAGTAGTTTGCCAAGTAAAAAATAACAGAAAGCACAAATGAGCAATGAAAAAGGCTACACACCCATGCTGAGATTCAAAGACTATCGTTCTTGTTTTACAGACCAAGCCCTCCTGGAACCACAGAATGATAACTCTTTTAACATTTACTTAGGGTTTAAGTCAAAGGAACTGCTCACTAGGCTTTAAACCTAAAACACATTACAGGGGGCATTTAGCAAAGAGAACGTGGGAAATGCGACCAAGCTGGGTTAGCCTGCGTGGCCTGCACGCACACGTCTGTAAGCGTTCACAGAGGGAAATGTGGCTCCCACCAGTTTATCAGCAGTGATAAAGGACACAGGAAGCACCGTGGCAGAGTACTTCTCAGGGACACAGGTTTCCTGACTTCCAATCTAAAACCATCAGTGCAGAACACTGATACTCAGCTCCTCCACCAAACGTACATTTTACGGAGTAATGGGAGTAGCTAGTGCAGTGTGTTCACAATATAGGGGGGTGGTCCACGATGCGTGCTGACCTGCTTAACTCTGCCTTCGGCTGCCAGGCCACATTCATACCAAGGATGAGTATTTTGGGCTTCTGTGTTGGGACTTCTGAATTCTGGAGTTTGACAAAATGAAGCCTGGTAGGGCTACGGGTATTTTTTTTCCTTTTCCACCCCTATTATAGTTGTGAACATATAAAAAATATTCCAAAGAATCGTTTCTGTAGGGTGCAAAATTATGGCAGCTGCTCAGTGATGGATCTGGTCCCCAGTCAGGGTGCATACGGGTGGCGACTGATTGATATTTCTTTCTCAAATCAATGTCTGTATCTCCCTTCTCCTCTCTAAAACCTATAAACATATCCTTCTCTGAGAATCGATAAACATATCCTTGGGTGAGGATTAATAAAAAAGGCCCAGCCCAGCCAGGACAAAGATTTTCTGGGGTTCTGGCCCTAGTAACTGCTGATTGAGAACAGGCTTTACACTTAGGAGACCTTTGGGGGCTTCCAAAAAGCAGTTCGGGGCTGGAGGGCTATTAATATAAAAATGCTTGACTTTGAGACAGACAAGCCAGGCTACTTCTGTAAGGAGGGGGGGCTCGCTGTCAAGGTCCTCAGCACAGAAGGCCAACCACGGTCAACAGAAGGCAGGACCGAAACCGGGGCTCTCATCCGTGCTCATCATCTGTGAAAAAACGATTTTATTTGCAATTCTTACTTCTGTGCTGTGCTTAGCAATACTAAGTGTTGAAGTTTTAGAAACTGTTTTCTATATTTAATCTATCTCCAAATCTATAATACCAGGAGTTCAGAGAATGCTGTTAGTAACTAATATATTTTTTATTCCCCATATTATCGAAGGAACGTATATCTTCAGACAAAGGAAAGCTGTTTTGCTCTACTCAGCACTGTTGGTGCACTGATGTTGAAAAGACAGACTATAAATCAAGTCCTGGAAAGGGGGCACTCACACGCCGCCGATGACACGAACTGATCCAATTCCATGGAAGTCCTCATCGTTTTTTAAAAAATCTGGGACGGAATCTATATGTTCACTAAACTCTTTGGCCTGTCCATGGAAGTGAGGTTTTTCATAAATTATAACCTGAAAAATATGAAAGGAAATTATTTTAGATTAGATACCTACTGAGTTACTGAAGTGGTGCTCAAGACAATGGCATGAAGAGGGACTGCTGTTTCTCCATGAATATATTCTTATGATCCATCACAGTGTGTAATATCCACAGGGAATAAATGAGTCTTCAACATCATAAAGATAAAGTATCTAATTAATAGTGTACGTCTCTCAGAGTAACACACTCGAGGCTGATCACGTTGTTCTGGTTCCCCAAATCCTAGGACCGTCTCGTAGGATAAACTGCCTTGAATTATCTAAGTTTATGCCTGTGATTAGGACTTAATACAACCCTGCCTTCTATTTATTGAACTGTCCCTTTGAGAAATAAAAAGTCTCTTGAGGTCCCAGGGCATAATAATGAATTATCTATTGATTTGAGAAAATATATGCTGTTTCTTATAACACTGCTTACGTGGTCATTACTATTCAGCAAGAAGAAACAGACAGGCTAATTCTTGAATTGAAGTATAAAGTTTCCAAAAGTAATACATGATTAAAAAAACAGTATTTGTACGCCCTACTTGATTTAAATTGGGAGGGGAAGGTAAGTACAGAAGGAAACAGACCCCCAGCATTTCATTTACTTTGCGCTTGGACGGGTGCAAGCGCTTCTCTTTTCCATTTTGATGCTCTTCATTCCCAAGCATGAGCTGTCCTCCGTGTGTGGAAGGGATGACAACACTGGTCTACCCACACTCTGTCACGGGCCCCATTTGTGGCTAATGGCATAATTTGCACACAACCGGCAATCCATGACCTTGGTGAATTAAAACCCTGTCTTTACCCACATTGAACCAGCGGGTAATAGCTCTCATACATTGAAAAACTGACAAAATTATACAGACAAATAAATGTGTAGCACTGCTCCTGCAGTTTTTGTTATTAAGTTTTCACCGGGCACTGTGTTGGAAGTAATACAGTTTTATTTGGGTTTAATACAGGCTACACATTCTGAACACACTCAAAGCAGGAAAGAAGCTATAATTCTTTAGTGAATCAGCCATCAGCTAACATTTAACAACTTGAAAACTGTGAGTGGCCACGACTGCTGTTCCATTCATATACCTCTACAACCTGTCAAACCACAAAGGTCCGAAGAAGACTCGGTCTGCGGCACCTGGAGCTCTGATTCTGCAAACAAGGAGTCGCTCAGGGAGTGTCTCAGCTAATTCTGCATCTATTAAATCCCTGGTCTGAAACTCTGGGTACAAGTCAGAATCATGGGAGCTCTGAAACATGTGACTACACCCCAGACCAAAAGAGTTATCTCTGTGAGTGGAACCCAGACATAAGTATTTTTGAAAAAATCTCAGATATGTATGATTCCACCATTGAGCCAAGATGTATTAGATACACTCAGATATTAAGTCCCAAAGGCCTCCATCTCTGTCATTGAGAGAATGATAGTCAATTCCATAAATTAGGAAGTCCCAAAACAGGAGGTTGGGATGAGTTGTGTCTTGTGTTGGAGGAAAAAAGAAAAATAGATAAATTCCTGCCTCCATACCTATCTCTGGAGGTGCCGTGGCCTCATTCAACAGAGGCCTGTTTGTACCTTTGGTCACGGCACAGTTAACATTCCGATGTCTGTTCGTGCATTCATAATTCTCCTCCACCTTTCCTTCCCATATGTGCCTAATCTCGGCATCACCACCACTCCACTGCTTACTGCCTCTACCCTTCAAATACTCTTGATTAAAAAACAGCCACCTTCTGATCATCCTTGATCTCCTTGAGCATCACTCCCAAAGGCCCACAAGTTATCTGCACTTGAATGTCTGTCTGGCTGCCACCTGTATCTGACTCCAAACAAAAATGAAACTTATCACCTTATCGCCTGTTCATAGGCGCTTACTGGGTTTGCCTGGGTTTTCAGTACAGACCTTGACCTTTGCATTCTGACCCCACGCCCCACTCCCAGCCTGGGCTCTCAGCAACCCTGCTGTGCAGTCACTTCCCGCCACCCCACACCCATGAGCTAGCCACTGCTAGCATGTATCACGGCAACTGCTTTCTGTTTTACAGTTTGAAATACTTAAAGAATAATATTCAAACTTCTTAACTTACTACAAGAGTCTATTCAACACTTACCTTTAAGTTCATAGGCATTTCCACTTTTAGTCCACCCTTAAAAGATGACAAGAAATTTTAATGTTAGATACATAAATATTTAAAAACATCTGAAAGTAACTGTGATGCATATAGGTTATATAAAAATCTGACTGGTGAAGATTACTTGCTAAAGTTAAGTTGTGTTAATTTAAAATGTTAAGAACAGAACTCTGCAACAGCTAAAATCAAATAAGACTTCTCTACATCAATGTGGGTGAAACAACAGACACTAAAGAGATACTTTCCAGCTTACAACAAGTACAAAGGAGACTGAACTTTATTTAGTCCTTACGCACACAAGCAACTAAAGATTTAATCCCACTACAGAGGATACAAAAATAAGAGGGGAGTTGTTAGTGGATTTTTAAAAATTATATTTTATTGGTTATGTTATTGCAGCTGTCCTGACTTTACTCCCTCTGCCCCTGTCCACACAGCACCTCTCACTCCCGGAAGCAGTCCCCCCACCACTGCTCATACCTATGGGTCATGTGTGTAAGTTGTTTGGCTACCCCATTGCCTATACTGTACTTTACATCCCCATGGCTATTCTGTAACTACCTATTTGTACTTCTTAATCCCCTTACCTTTCACCCATTCTCCCCCTCCACCATTCCATCTGGCAACCACTGAAACTCCCTCCATATCCATGATTCCGTCTCTGTTCCTCTTGTTTTTCAGATTCAACTGTTGATAGGTATGTATTTTTTTGCTAGTTTATTGTTCATAGTTTTGATCTTCTTTTCCTTAAACAAGTCCCTTTGTCAGTTCATATAATAATGGTTTGGTGATGATGAACTCCTTTAGTTTTTTCTTGTCTGGGGAGCTCTCTTCTCTGCCCTTCAATTCTAAATGACAGCTTTGCTGGGTAGAGCCATCTTGGCTGTAGGTCTCTGCTTTTCATGACTTTGAATATTTCTTGCCGATCCCTTCTAGCCTGCAAAGTTTCTTTTGAGAAATCAGTTGACAGTCTTGTGGGAACTCCCCTGTAGGTATCTAACTGCTTTTCTCTTGGTGCTTTTAAGATTCTCTCTTTTATCTTTAACCTTTGGCATTTTAATTATGATGTCTTGGAGTGGCCTCTTTGCATTCACCTTCTTTGAGACTGTGCTTCCTGGACTTCCTTCAGCAAACTAGGGAAATTTTCTTTCATTATTTTTTCAAATAGATTTCCAATTTTTTTTCTTTCACTTTTCCTCACATCATAGGATGACCCTATGATGCGAATGTTGGACCTCTTGACATTGTCCCAGAGGCTGCTTATACTATCCTCATTTTTCTGCATTCATTTTTGTTCCTGTTGTTCTGATTGGTTACTTTTTATTTCTTTATGTTCCAAATCATTGATTTATTTTCAGGTTCATCTACTCTACTGTTGTTTCCCTGAAAATTTCTCTTTATTTCAATTACTGTAACCCTCGTTTCTGTGTTTTGAACTCTCCATCTGATAGGTTGCAGAGTTCCTTATCTGCATTTCACTTAGGTCTTTTTCTGAAGTATTGATCTGCTCTTTCATTTGGTCCATGTTTGTCTCCTCTGTCTCCTGTGTTTGTTTCTATGTTTTAGGTAGAGCTACTTTGACTCCATGTCTTGAGAATGTGGCATAATGGAGTAGGTGTGCTGTAGGGTCCAGTGGCACAGCCTGTAACCCAAGCTGGGTATTTGAGGTGCACCCTTTCCATGGGCTGAGCATACCCTCCTCTTGTAGTTGAGCCTTGGTTGCTGTTGGTAGATCAATGAGAGGGATTTACCCAGTTCAGGTAGCTGAAAGGACTGGCTGTGACCACTGACCACCAACTTCTGCCTTCTGTGGAGGATCAGGTGTGCAGAGGCAGGGTGGTGGTTCTCTGACATGGTCTATAGCTCTCCACTGACTGTGCTGGCCTTGGGGTTTCCCAGGTGGTGCAGGCCAAGGTAACCCCCCAGTGGTGTTTTGCCAGGGCCACCCTGCCTCAGCTATAAAGCAGTATGAGATGGCTGCTACTTGTGCTGGGCTTGGAGATTCCCAGCCAACGCCAAGCTGTGAATTTAGGCTGTCTGCTGCTAGTGCTGGGCCTGGGGCTCACCAAGATCTGCTGCTGTTTGTTAGAAAGAATTTAGGAGGTTGTGAAGTTTTGTGAAGTATGAGCCAGGACCAGCCATTCATAAAAAAAAAGAAGCTTGGATGGGCCTGTAAGCTGGGTGGAGCAGTCTCTGGGGATCTCCAAGGCGGGTCAAACAGTGTCAGCCAGTTGGATGGAGTCTCGGATATGGCATCCCCCTGCTGGCTCAGTGTGGATGAATGTGGTTTCTTTAATTCCATAGTTATTTTTTAAAATATATTTTATTGATTATGCCATTACAGTTGTCCCATTTCCCCCATTCATTCCCTTCCACCCTGCACACCCCTCCCCCACCATTCCCCCCCTTTAGTTTATGTCCATGTGTCACAAGTTCTTTAGATTCTATATTTCCCATACTATTCTTGCCCTCCCCCCTGTCTATTTTCTACCTACCATCTATGCTACTTATTTTCTGTACCTTCTCCCCTGTTCTACTCCTCCCACTCCCCTGTTGCTAACCCTCCATGTGATCTTCATTTCTATGGTTCTGCTCCTGATCTAGCTGTCCTCTTAGTTTGCTTTTGTTTTAGATGTGGTTCTTAATAACTGTGAGTTTGCTGTCCTTTCACTGTTCATATTTTTTATCTTCTTTTTCTTAGGTAAGTCCCTTAACATTTCATATAATAAGGGCTTGGTGATGATGAACTCCTTGAATTTGGTCTTATCTGAGAAGCACTTTATCTGTCCTTCCATTCTAAATGAAAGCTTTGCTGGATAGAGCAATCTTGGATGTAGGTCTTTGGATTTCATGACTTGGAATACTTCTTTCCAGCCCCTTCTTGCCTGGAAGGTCTCTTTTGAGAAATCTTCTGACAGTCTGATGGGGGCTCCTTTGTAGGTGACTGTCCCCTTACCTCTTGCTGCTTCTAGGATTCTCTCTTTCATTTGAATCTTGGCTAATGTAATTATGATGTGCCTTGGTGTGTTCCTTCTCAGGTCCAACTTCTTTGGGACTCTCTGAGCTTCCTGGACTTCCTGGAAGTCTATTTCCTTTGCCAGATTGGGGAAGTTCTCCTTTATTATTTGTTCAAATAAGTTTTCCACTTGTTGCTCTTCCTCTTCCCCTTCTGGTACCCCTATAATTCGGATGTTGGAATGTTTAAAGATGTCCTGGAGGTTCCTGAGCCTCTCCTCATTTTTACGAATTCTTGTTTCTTTATTCTTTTCTCTTTGGTTGTTTCTTTCTTCCTTCTGGTCCACTCCATTGATTTGAGTCCCAGTTTCCTTTCCATCACTATTAGTTTCCTGTGCATTTCCCTTCATTTCAATTAGTTTAGCCTTCATATGTTCCTCTAATTTGTGACTAAAATCAACCAGTTCTGTGAGCATCCTGATCACAAGTGTTTTGAACTGTTTGAACTGTGCATCTGATAGGTTGGCTATTTCTTGGTCACTTAGAATTACTGGCTCTGGGGCTTTGAGCTGTTCTTGAGCCATAATGTTTTGGTCTGTTTGCACCTGTTATGTATGAGGGGCAGAGCCTTAGTTATTCATCAGGGTGGGGCAACCCAGGTTGCTGGGATGTGATGCTGTATGTGGGGGCGGGGTCAGAGAGGGACAATTGCGGTCCCCTCTGCCACTTCCCGCCACTGGGGCCTGCACAGTCTGTCTCAGCGCTTGCTTCTTCACCGGTTTATCTGTGCGCGAATGTGTGACCATGGTCAGCCAGCCACCCCATGCCCTCACTGGGTCCGCCCATTTCCATCCCATGCCTGGGCTCTGCCAACCACCGCCTGTGCGCCTGGGTTGGTCTGGCCAATTTTTCCTTTGCGACCTGCTCCACCAGCCACTGGCTCCGCCCTGGCAGAGGAGATTTCTAAACCACTTATTACTAAATGTCTTCTCAAAAACTGCTTGGGCTTTCTACATTAGAGCACTTCCTCTTTCAAGTTCTGTGAATACTTTTTATCACGTTTAATGTCTTTGTGGACTCAAGGTTGTAGGCATAAAAAGTACCTCTTTCTTCACAAAACTCTAATTCTATAATCCACTTGTTTCTAATACAACCCCACATTCTGAAGTTTCCTAAAATTTCTTAGTTTGCCTTATTAATTTTTTTAAAAGCGCAAAACAAACAAATATGGTTTCCCACACAGGTAACATTGAATTAACAGTCTGTCCGTCAGATAAAAATGTTTGCAAGAAAAGAAACACTGTGCATACTTATCTGTTAGAAAGCTGCCACTGACAGAGCTGCCCGTTTGTTATTAATGCTGAGCTTATCATGCATCGTACCAGGGAAGAGTATAATTTATAAGTGACTTATAATTAGCATAAAAAAACCAAATTCAGAAGTTTATTAAATATTCAAAAATCTCACAGAATAACACTTAAAAGGAAATAGCATGTATGTGGTAAACTTAGCACAAAGTCATTTCAGACATTTGTCTTCTGGAAAATAATTTACAATTTTCACACATTCTCTATAATGTAAAGAAACAGAAAAACAACGAACCAATAGTTTCTTAATTCAGGAGTATTCACACTCATTTTCAGGACTGAGATGCATAGGCACTTCTCAAAACTATTTAGTTTTGGATTCATGGGTACTTGGAAAATGTTTCTCTTTAAATTTGCTTACCATTTGAAGTGGATACAGTGATTTCATTTCTGCTACAGAAATTTCAAAGAGTCCATGGTCTTCCTCCAAAACTGTGGCTCGCCCCTTAAAATTAACATCTGGGTAGGCAAGCCAACTAAATGAGAAAGGAATGGCAGGTTAAAGTGTAACAGGAATGCCTTAGTCTGGTTCTGTAAAATTGAAAGTAAAAAGGGCTCCATAAAAACAAAACAAAGACCCATCACAGAATTATGCATATAAAACACACTCAGAGTGACTTCACTAAGCAGCATACAACGTGTCCACATGTTATTAAGTAGTTACCTTCAAACACTGCCTGTCCTATAATAAGTCTACTGTAAGTTTTCCAAGCATTACAATTTCCAGTACTTAAAAGGTGTGAGCCCTTTAACTGAGGCAGAATGTAAGTGAAGTATTACTACCATTGTACTATATCCCATTCTTTTTAAAATTAGAGCAATCAGAGGTAGGGACTGTACCAGGCGACTTGCATCGTTGACCTACACTTTTGGAATCTATATCAGTCTATTACTGGCTGCCTCGGGAACAGTATATGATACAGGATTCTCAGAAGACCCAACTACCTTCCACCTAAATTTGATAATTACAAGCACTGGTCATAGACAGGATTAATTACTGGGTCCGCCCAAGAGTTCTGACCCATGGTGGGCAAAGATGAAGAAAGATGCCCTACGATGACCCCAAAATTCTACACCATCGTTGTCAAAGCAGGCGAGAACAATGGATGAGAGAAGAGGGGCCTGTGTGCAAACAGGCATCACGGAATTTGGGATTGTAGCCAACCTGGGACTGATTTAAGATTAAACTCAGAGCCATACTCCTGAGGACACCTTTGGAGCCAGAAAGGCCGAGCCTGGGACCAACCACTTAATTTCCTCTTTTCTGACATGAGAACAGTTCCACCTGCCTGGCCGGAAAAGCGGGCTGATCCACCAAAAGGCACCATGTGCCCGGACTGCAGAGGCCCTCACAAACTACAAGCACTGAGACACTCTGGAAATAGTTTGGACCGCAGGATTTTAGGCCAGCAACATATCTTTTCTCAGTCTTAAAATTTACTGCAGAAAAAGATGGTGGATGCATCTGCCGAGAACTGTGTCTGAGAATCTCTATCTGTTCCTGTGAGTTATACATCAAACACTTAGTAGGAGCCAAAGAAAGACAGAATCTGTTTAATCCCTGCAACAGTCTTTCTTGGGTATCTAGGAGTATAAACAAAATTAATTAGCACCTCAGGAATATGTATGTCACCTACTGAAATATGAAACAAAAGTTAGCTTTGGTGGCCATCAATCACCGTAATAAAGAGAAACTGATACGTACACTCCTGACTTCACAGTGAAGGACACAGATTTGGGGATACTCAGCTCCTCCAAATTAGGGACCGCTCGCTGAATGTAAACAGGACAACATGCTGGGTCAGACGGTGGGCAAAGCTCTATCTCTGGAATACAGCAATCCTGAAAAAAAAATTGGCTTTGAAATCCTCTAAAGAAACACACAGCCCAGTATTCTCATCACCCTGGACTTGCAGTTACAATTGTTCTCATTGTCCAGTTAAATTTCTTCACAAGAGCAGCATAAAGGAAATACTGTTTCTCTGTATCAGTTTTTAAAAATCCAGTTTTTTCAAAAAAATTGTTTTTACAGTTTTCAATTACAGTTGACATTCAGTGTTTTATCAGTTTCAGTGGACAGCAAAGTGGATGGACATTTATACAATTCACGAAGTGATCACCTGATAAGCCCAGTGCCCAGCTGGCACCACCATCCGTGGCTGTCACAACACTGTTGACTGTACTCCCTGCGCTGTATTTACATCCCCGTGACTGTTTTTGTAAAACTGTCAGTTTGTACTTCTTACTCCCTTCACTCCCAAACCTCTCCCATCCGGCAACCAATAAATTTTTCTAAGGTGTTGCACTGATAACATGAAAATTATAGCTATTACTGATCGAAAAAGTATTACTCCAATATTTTCTGCTTTGTTTTTAAAAGTGTTGTTCCATTAAGCAATGCTTAGAGTCACCACACAAGCTGAGCGCCAGAAGTGTGTGTGCCTTCCTTCTTAGAAGCACAACAAAGCCACAGGGAGGAAGGGAGTTAAATAAAAGCTGATCTCATGGGGGACATTAGAAAACAAACAACAGAGAACTACACCCTCAGGGTGTGATCTGATTTACATTGACATAAGGGGTAGGAATTAGAGGTGAGGGTAAAGGAAATCTGTTTTCCTACTTGTGGTATTCTATTTATTTTCTTTAGTACAAGGTGGTTTGAAGAAAAAAGGCATTATGAAATTTGACCCTACATTCCATCATGCATCCACTCTCACCATGTCCTGTCAAACCTTCCTGAAAATTTCACTGGTGTATATCTCTTATCTTCTCCCATGGTCAAGGCCCTTCGTCAAGGCCAGGACTTGGATTATGGGCTCATACTACCAGTCAAGTGCTAGCTACCTTTCAGACAGCTGGGCTTGTCGGAACCCCACTTTCCTCATGCAGGGCCTTGGCTCAGAACCCAAGCACATGGAATCTGTGTTTATTTCCCTTTCTCCCGCGTGGCACCAACCCACTCATCTATCCTAACTGCCCACCCGGCTTTAGTCAGTCGTGCTGGTCTCCGAGCTCCAGAGGGATCTTTACTCCCTCTCTGGCCTCTCTAAGGTCTGTAAATGTGTCCCCCACTGAAACTAGAGAGATAATTCTTCGTATTCTTACTTATGAAAATATTTTAATAATCAACTAACTAAAAAATGACCTCATCTTTTCTTAAGGAACCAAAAGCACAATTATTTCTCCTTTCCTGAAATTACAGATGTGTTTCCATCTGAACCACAATCTGTCTCAGTAGTGGTGGGCATTTAATGACACAAATTAAGTTTCAGTAGCAAAGTTCTCATCTAGGACATTGTGAAATTCAAATAATTATGCTTTAATAAAATAGGTAAATTCAATAACAATCAGAGGTGACATTTAATGGACTGAACAACTGTATTTTTTATTATAATCAGTTTTGCAATTAAAAAATGGCAATTTTCTAATTAAAAAATTTTTTTATTTATCTTTAGAAGGGAAGGGAAGGAGAGAGGGAGAGAAACATCAATGTATGGTTGCCTTTCATGTGTCCCCTGCTGGGAACTGGCCTGTAGGGAACCAGCCTGCAACCCAGGCATGTGCCCTGACTGGGAATCGAACCGCGATTGCCTGGTTCGCAGGCCCGCGCTCAATCCACTGAGCTACACCAGCCAGGGGCAATTTTCTAATTTTTAACCTTTCTCCAAACTCAGTTATCTTACTATTCATTATTAATAATTCTTCTTAATATGTAAAAACAATATGTAAGATGTAAAGCCAATTGATACATCTTTTTCTTCCAAAGTTATCTCTAAAATGCAATACAGCAAAAAGCCATTGACTAAAATACTCTTTAAAGTATAAAAATATATTTCTTTCTAAAGTTTCATTTCAAAATAGTCAGAAATGTTCAGAGTAGTCACCTGTCAGTCTTCAAGGCTCTTTTGTTTGCTGGTTATAATAGAGTTCTAGTAACAGAACTGCTGCCACATTCATGTCCCCCAGGGACCTGCGGGGCAGCAACAGAGCACAAAACCCAGCGTCTCACGCAAATAAGCTTCCTCTGCATTGTGTTACACAAACAATGTTGGGGCGGTGCACTTTGAAAGGGAAAAAGCTAAGAGGCACTTGAGTCTACCACAGCACAGAAGGAAACAGCCTAATGGAACAAGCATGACAATGGCTAAAAAATGCAAAATAAACAAAAATAAGAATGCTTATACTCTCATCTATCTTTATCAGAGGACCGATTTTTTCTTCTCCAGTACACTGAAAAAGATTTCACTGATTAGTGACTGAAGAGTGTTTTACAGCAGCTTAGCAACAACAGTTTACTGTTAGAAAAGTTACATGGCTTCTTCCCAGACTTTTCTAGCCATGATATACTTTACAAGTATATTTTGGTGAAATCTTCCAGCTCAGCTTATTAAAGCAATTAGTTGGAAGGGAGACAAAGCTACAGAAGAGAAAAGGGGTGCGAATGAATTACAGTCCACAGAAGCAGTAAGAAAATCTACTTTCCTTTACCTTACATAAAATACCTTCGGTCACTGATCTAACAGTGGACATCTCTTTTCTTGGCTCATTAGTGAGGGGACAACCTAAACAACCTCTGACCATAACAAAAATGCCATTATGTCATTCCTTGAACTAAAATTAAGGGCATAGGAAACCCAGTAATTTGCAAAATGCATTTCTTCTGTTTGAGAAAAGCAAGCACTCGCCTCCAGCTTCACTGCCCTGCCGCCCCGCCCCAATCGTTCCCACTGGCGGCAGAGCCGACCCCAGAGCAGAATGTGCAACTGCTGGTAACTGATGGTAACTGATGGTACCTGCTGAATCTGCTGTACCCATTCACACACTGTCTTTAAAGAACACTGAAGTTTTGACCAGTCAGATCAGAGCAACCAAAACACCAGGAAACAAGGCCTAAATGGATTTGGCGTGGCCACCATGAGAATAAAGCTATCAATAACCAGCATTTTAACACGGCTGGAGAAAGGAAGCAGTTTGATACTTGATTCTCACTTTGTTAAATATTTAGAACAATGCTAATGCCTTTTCCATTCAAAGCTCAATAGTTTTATTTTCCTTCCTAAAAGTTGCTAGCCTGTTCAAGATACGTGGGCAAGAACAAGGCAATTTAAACAAGGCTCCAAGAACAATGGAAGGAGGAAAAAAATGCAAGCATGACTTATTCTTTCTTATAATATATTCTAAGCAAATGGCAGATGTGCAAATACCCATTTATATACCCATTCTCAACTGATTGAGTTTTTGTTTGACTTTATTGTTGTTTAATTAGGGAAGAGGGGGAGGAGGTGGCTGTTAACAATATCTTACTCATTTTTTTCTTTTTTCCCCCCCGACCAGGCCTGGCATGGTGCCCAGCATTCACAGGGAAGGCACGAAACCATAAGTTACTTAAATCTTAGAAGATTCCACCTACAAAATAATTACTCATTTCACGGAATTTCTAGTGAGTTAGCCAATTCAGTGAGCGCTGTAAAGGAACGCTGCCCATCATTCTGTAGCTGTCAATCTTCCTACAGTGCCACCAATGCGCAGCCAGGAGCTCCCTCCAATTTCCTCTGCCACTTAACTCCTGCTGACTCTCTCCAGACTCCAGCCGTGCCAGCTCCTCCAGGAAAGGTCCCTCCCCTTGGTTCCCCCTTAGGGCACACTTCACATCCACAGTCAGGTGACTCGGCTGTCTGTCCCTAGGCTTTAAGCAACCTGAAGCAAGAGAGCAAGTCCTATTTCTATTTCCATTCTCAGTGACAGTCACAGTACTGGGTCCGAAAGCAGACGTAGGTATTTGTAGACACAGGTTTGCTACAGTTTTGCAAAGTACTGAGTCACATAAAATACATGCAGACACCCCTTTACGATAATGAGTTTTTCTGTATGCTCTCCCCAACTCTCAGGGTTTAATAACAGCGACTCAAATCATTATGCATTTTTGTTTTACGCACATAAAAGAAACCTCTGTAATTTGAAAAAAAAATATGTTCTTGACTGCCATAGGAGTAATTAAACTAAATCATGTGCTATGTTACTGTTGAAGGCACTCTTAAGACTACATGGGAGGCATAAAAACAGATGCATAGATCAATGAAACAGGCTCCAGAACCCAGAAATAAGCCCACGCCTTTAGAGTCAATTAATATTTAACAGAGGAAGCAAGCACATTCAATGGGCTAAAGATAGTTTATTCAATAAATGGTGTTGGAAAACTGGACAGATACATGCAGAAAAAATGAAACTAGAGCACCATCTTACACCATGCACAAGAACAAATTCAAAATGGATGAAAAACTTAAATATTAGAACCAAAACAATAAAAATCATAGAAGAAAACAGGCAGTAAAATCTCAGACACTGCTTGTAGCAATATATTATCTCACATATCTCCTCAGGCAAGGGAAACAAAATAAAAAATATACAAATGAGACTACATCAAACTAAAAAGTTTTTGCACAGCAAAGGAAATCATCAACAAAATAAAGACAATCCACAGAATGAGAGAACATATTCACTGATACCTTTGACAATGGGTTAATGTCCAAAATTTATAAAGAACTTACAAAACAACACCAAAAAACCCAAACAATCCAATTAAAAAAATGGGCAAAGGACCTGAATAGTCACTTCTCCAAAGAGCACATACAGATAGTTAACGGACCTATGAAAAGATGCTCAACATCACTAATCATCAGAGAAATGCAAATTAAAGCCATAATGCAATAACAACTCACGCCGGTCAGAATGGCCATGATTAATAAATCATCATTAATAAATGAGTGCTGGTGAGGATGTGGAGAAAGGGGAACCCTTGTGCACTGTTGGTGGGAATGCAGGCTGGTGCAGCCACTGCGGAAAGCAGCATGGAGATGCCTCAAAAAATTAAAAGTTCTGCCTTTTGACCCAGCAATCCCACTTATGGGAATATATCCAAAGGAACCCAAAACACTAATTTGAAGATCATAAGCACCGCTATCTTTATCTCAGCATTATTTATAGTTGCCAAGATATGAAAGTAACCCAAGTGTCCATCAGTAGATGAGTGGATAAACAACTACGGGAAATTTACACAACGGAATTCTACTTAGTCGTGAAAAAGAAGAAAATCTTACCCTTTGCAGCAGCATGGATGAACCTGGGGAACATTTGCTAAATGAAATAAGCCAGTCAGAGAAAGACAAATACCACATGACTTCACTTACATGAAGAATCCAATGAACGAACTGATCTAACAAGCAAAACAGAGACAGACTCATAGAGAACAGGATGAAAGCTATTGGGGGTGGGAGGTGAGGGGATAAAGGGATTGAGCAAAAAGGAGAAAGGACTCCTGGGCACATGCAACAGTATGAGGACTGCACAGGGGAGGGGGTACCAGTGGGTTAAATGATAACGAAAAAAATACAGTAACAAATTTTTTAAGAAAGAAAAAGGAAAAAAAAGACTACAAAGAATTCTTTCCTTATCTTATATCTGTCCTTACCACTAACTCACTCTCCTCAGCACTTCCAACAAATTTTTGTTTATACTGACTTCTATTTTATTTTCTAAATAAAATATTTTTTAATAATATTTTCTAAACAGAAAGTGTTCTCCTAACACTTCTTTCTGTATCTCTCTCTCATTCACAGACACACGTACACAGAACTACACAAACGAGTAGAAATCTACACTAGAAAAAGTATGAATTTGAAAATTTGGAAATATTGACTATTTTCCTAAAGATGGTATATTCCTACATTTCCTAAAGATAGTATGTGTGTGTGTGTGTATATATATATATATAATTATCAGTAATATTTTAAATTAATATTTAGTACTTCACATGTATAATATAAAATATTATCATTTATATGATCATAAAAGTGAATAAAATTAGCATAAATTATGGCAACTATTTCTATAAACATGGTAGACCAAAGTTCAACTTTACTATGTGACAAACAAAACAAAATAAAAAATAGAAGAAAATCAACACCTCTCTTACCTTTAAGATGCGTTTGATAGAACCCAATACAAAATTTCTTTGTGGATGCTTTCTGTTCTGAAGGGTCCAGTCACGATTTAACACCTTTTCCCCTTCTTCTAACACACATTTCTGACCTTGGAAATGTGGCTTCTCATATAAAATCCAGCTGAACAAATACAAAAGCATGATCAATTATCATTAATGTCCTAGGAAATGAGGCATAAAACAAGTGATACTTAGTAAGTCACAGACTATCTTATCCAGTTGCATTTTAAAATCTGGGTTATTTTCCACTCTTAGCATATAATCCTATTTTTGAAATGATGATCTATGGTAGTATAAGTACAAACAGCATAAGAAAGAATGGACTTTGAAATAATACTTCCTGAATGTAATATTACAATCTATGGGGATATTTATGTATATACATACTTTATAGGCATTATATACACAAAGCCGTAAATTTATTTTAAAGACAATAGCTTAACCATTCCAAATTCCACTTCTACCCTAATTTGTTGGTCCCTGGTTAACAAAGCACATGAGTCCCATTTTTATTACATGAAGAGAGTACTGCATCATAATGCTTACCACATGAATACTGACCAGTGGGTAACCGAAATACTGGACAAAGAAATCCTGGCTCATCCCCGGCAACTACACATTGATGTTTCTCTCCCTCCTTCCCTTCCCCATTTCTAAAATAAATAAAATCTTTTTAAAAAATTGTGTCATGTTAAAACCAGTAGTAAATCGAGATTATGTTTAAAAAAAAGGAAAGAAATCCTGACTCCAACTTATCCATGGTTCATAACAACAAATAAAGTTTTCCCTCATTTCTACACCATACAAAGAATTGTTTACTCTTTGAGCATGGCAGCTACACAAATGACTTTAAGTACGTAGCTTTCTCACTCCTCAGCATCCCACAAATTTTAAACTTGTTTTCGAAACCATGCTTCATTCAACTGAAGCCTTCAGCGGGACTTGCCCAATCTATCCTGCCAATAATGCAGTTACACAATGGTATTGATTGTTACACTGTATACATCAGATCTGGCCACTCACTACTGGCTTTAAGCACTAAAATCAGCCTGTATTTTCTGCCACAGGAAATAGAACAATTAAGTTACAAAATACTAATGATGTTTCGAAATGCTCTGTCAAAAATGGCAACTTTAATAAAAGTTTTACTTTAATAAAAAATACAAAAGCATACATGGCAACAAAACATTTAATTGTGGGGGGAAAATGCTATATAATTTTAAGAGATCTCTTACCAGCCCCTTACAACTTTTATCAGTACGCCGTTCGGAAAGGACCACGCGGTGGCATCGAGAATGTTACAATAGACCTCTTGTTTATATTTACTTCCATGGAGATCATAGATAACCATCTGGAACACACAGAAAACAGGCACAATAACTATTCTTAAAAAATGCATTTAAAATTGTAAAAAGTCCTACAATATAGAAAATAAAATATCCTGAATATATAAAAGTAATCATTACTTTAGATGTTAAATCTTTGAGTAAAATAATCCTTTTCTAAGTCAGTTCCCTGTATTTACTCAAAACTCCCCAAACCTAAAAGAAACTGCACTTTTCATGTGACATATTACTCCACGTAAAAAACTTATGCTCACCTTCCCAGGTCTTGGGTTACACCTTAGAGTTTGTCTGTCAACATTCTGAAATAATAAAAGTGAAAGAAGAAAGCCTTAAGAAACATCAATACTTTTAGCTGAACATTTTAGCTGAACTTTCTCAGCCATTACAAACAAATCCAACTTATGTTTATTTAGTGACATTATATGCAAGGTGTACCCCTAGGTGCTACGAGGATATAAAGGTAAATATAAAGGACAATAATGTGCCGTCTCTGCCCTCAAGCAGCTTATGGCTCGGAGGGGAGAAGCAGTTGATCGCACTCTCCTGACTCTGCTCAGTGGGGGGCTAAGTTAAACCCACAGGTAAAACAAAAAGAAAACGCCAGGCTATGAAAATTAAGGGAAATGGCCCCAGGGTAATGGAGGTGAGGTGATGGCAAAGATTCAGGTGCTTGCTGAGAAGTGGTATGGAGAAGACCTTGGAAAGCCAAATTTCAACATGTGAAAAAATGTGGCCAGTTGGGGTAGAGGAGTAGAGAAAAAAAGTCCAGGAGGAGAACCATCTTGGGAAAAAGTCTGCTGGTAGGAAGCACAGGGTGTGTAACCAGCAGGCAGGGAGGCAAGACTGGAGAAACTACATTTGGGAGCCTTGTCATACAGAGTGAGGAGGTTCTACCTGATTTGGGAGGTAACGGAATCATTAAAGAAACATTGAACTCCCCTTACTTCTTTTAAAATGACTTTGCTTTGCAAGCTGTTGATTGGTATTCAAGTATTACTATTTGTTCCTAAGGTCATTCCAGGTAACGATGCAGGCCTTGGGATTTTTAATTTTTTTATTTTAATTGGTGTTCAAGTACAGTTCTCTTTTACTCCCATCCCAGCCCACTCACACAGTGCTCCCCACCTCCCTTCCATTCCAACCTCCTCCTAGTTTTTTGTCCATGTGTCCTTCATACAGGCCTTGGGACTTTTAAAGAAGGTTCCATAATCTTGGGAACGCTGGAAAGTCCTACCCTCCATGACTATTTTACATTAGACATTCAAACACTTCTAAGTCAAAGAAAAATGTAACTGAATTTTAAAACATCTTCCAAATATAATGTTATAGCTCTTTTTCTTCGAATTAGGCTGTTCATTATTCTGCTTTGAAAGAACAACATGAGCAATTAAAGTGAGAGGAGGCTGTCCATAAAAAATCTACCATCTTTTTAAGGCCCTGGCCCCATGCCCCAAAAGCTTGTGGGCTCAACCCTCTGTCAGGTCATCAGCCTAGGCTGTGGGTTTGGTCCCCAGTCGGGGCGTGTGCAGGAAGCAACAGATCAATGTTTCTCTCACATCAATGTTTCTCTCTTTCTTTCTCTAAAATCAATAAACATATGCTTGGGTCAGGATTAAAAAATGGTAAAAATAAACATTTTTAAGTGTTCAAAATATTTATTATGAAATGTTTTCATGAGACACGTGTCAACTTTCTCACATGTGGTCCCTTGAGAAATTCAGAATCTCTTCATTTAATTTAGTTTGAAAATATAGCAAAAAAAACTGGAAAATAACTTGCTTCTCTGCCTTTAAATTTTGGGCAATTATTTTCTCAATGTTCAGCTAAAATATGTGACTTATGACACACTTCAAACAAGGAATCAGAAAAAAACTGATATTTAAAAAAACAATCTTTATACACCAAAACATTGAGTTTCTTAAGCCTTTAGATCATTTATGACGCAAATCACTACTTCACCAGTTAATAATCAAAATAACTTACCTCTGGGAACGGGCTTAATCCGCCTGAGATGTCTTGAGCACGGAAATATTTTGACACTGGTTCCTGCAAAGTCCCACCAAATCTGGCTCCTTTTTCTGAGGAATGTGTTTTGGAAGTCTGCAGATACTGATGATAAGCACTCTTCACGGAAGAATGTAATTTAGAAGTAAGGTCAGATTTTTGTAGGAATGGGGTCTTTTCTGGCCACAGACCTGTGTGCAGACTGGAGGTAGTTGGTTCATTTGTCTTCACAAATGAACCCGTAGAAATTCCAGTCCTTTCCTGGTCCTCGTCTGGGCCGAACGTGGTGGAAGGACCCGGCAGCCTGATGGTAACGGTCTCCCTCCCTGTGGCTGTCAGACCTCCCTGATGTGATGATTCCTCTTCCTCTTCCCCTAACTCCAGCCTGTCGTCTTCATCAAAATTCATCTTTAAACGCTCTGATACTGACTGGAGGAGTGACAGGACAGAACAGGGCTGGTGCGCACCGTCTCTCGATTTGGTGGAGCCATGGTGCCCAGGGGAGACCTCGCTGGACAGAACGTCCTCCTGAGAGCTGTCGTCCTCATAAATGGGAGACAGAGCTAAGGGGTACACTCTGTACCTTTTCGCCTCCACTGATAAGAACATTTCTGAACTATCACTGTCTAATTTAGTGCCCTTTTCAAAATGACGAACCAGGTCAGTTCTGCTCTCAGACCTCTCACAAGCGAGGACAGGCGTGCCGTCGGGGGGTGCGTCAGGAAACGGGAGTGAGTGTGCTCTCCGTACGTTGACGGGGGCACACCTGTCCTCATCTTGAAGGGGTTCTTCATATAATATAGTAAAGGAAGAGTTTTCTTGTTCATCCTGAGAGACGAAGGCTAGGTTAGAGTCTTCTTTTTCATCGCTGTACTCCCCTACATCTACTGCGGTAACAGATGTTCTTTTGTCTAGCCTTCCTGTGGACTCCACAGGTTGAAAATCCAGCATTGCTAAGGCTGGGTAGCCTTCATAATCCTTGCTCAATGTAGGCGATTCATAGCCTCTGAAATACGAAGCAAGCCTATTGTCATGTGATATGAAGCCTTCCTTTACTTCAATGGGCTCTTCCTCCATTTCTCCCATACTTTCTTCAGCATACTCTTGGGGGGCTTTTTCAGGTTCAAATATGGGAAGCGTGGCCCCTGCTTGTATAAGGGGTGATCCCAGACCTGCTCCGTGTGTTACCCCCATGGTGACCCCTGCAGATAACATGGGGTGTTTACGGATAGCCCCATCAGGCTCTTCTGGGGATGTTCTTTCCATCTCTATCATGGAGGGCATGGACACGGTGATTCCGATCGTCCCCTCAGCATCCCTCTTGCGTGCTTTTTCTATTTCTAAAGAGGCAGGGGCTGCCTTCTTGTGTACTTTTTTCACTTCCAGCCCAAAAGGTACAACTTCGGTTTTCGTAAGAACTCCCTCAGCACCCTTTTCGAAAGTGCTTTCCATTCCCGACACAGGCCTTTCAGTCTTCCCATTGACCCCCTCGGCATCTTCGTGGCGGACAGTTACCACTTCTGACGCCACGGGCATCGCCTCGGTGCTGTCCGCATCTCCTTCAGCATCCGGGGAGGTATCGTCCGTTTCTAACGCAGGAGGGGTCACTTCAGACTTTTCAGAAATCCCCTCAACTTCTTTTCGGTCAGTGTTTTCCCCTTCTGGCAGGCCTGATGTCGCCCCAGTCTTGGCAACATCGCCTTCAGCGTGCTTTTCATAAATGTTTTCCATCCCTAATGTAGCAGGTAGCATGTCAGACTTCCCAGGAATTCTCTCAGCATCTCTCTGATAAATGCTCTTCACTTCTGACACGACAGGCATTGCGTCAGGTTTGCCAATATCCGTCTCTGTATCCCCCATCTTGTGAGCTTTCTCCTTCCCTAACACGGCAGGCAGTCCCTCAGTTTTTGCACGCTTCTCAGCATCCACTGGGCATACTTCTCGCGTTTCAAAACTGTCATCTGTTGGCTCAGTTTTTGTGATATTCAGTTCATCATCCCTTTTATGTGCTTCTCCCATTTCTGACAGAAGAAGGGCTGCCTCAGCTTTCATAATTTTCAACTCGGTATCCTTTTTGTATGGTTTTCCCATTTCTAACATGGAAGGGATAAGCTCGAGTTTTCCTAGATTTACTTCAGTATCCTTTTTGTGGACTTTTCCTACTTCGGACACTGCAAGGGGTGTGCTCTTATTACCGTGTCCGGGCAAGCATTTTTCGGGTACACACACGAGGCTGTCGGACAAGCTGCTTTTGGAGGTCCCCGGTCCATGGGTGTCGTCATCTGCAAACGGAGGCCACGTGAAATTTAGTGCCGGAGTTCTCCCATCCTGTCTCCCCACTTTGTGATTATCCACATGCTCCGCTTCCACTTTCTCTTTAGAGTCCTCTCTGAGAAGTAAGTGTGTTTCTACTCTATCATCTAACCCTTCACGGGGCAAGTCTTCACCCAGTGAAACAGTGTCTGATTCCTGCAATTTTAGAGCATCAGACTGTCCAGCTCCATTTACAGAAAATGGGGATTTGCAGGGGAGAACAATTTCTCTTCCTTTAATTGACTCTGTGTCAATACCTAAGTTACTTACAGTGAAGAATCTACCTAGTACTTTATTTTCACTAATTTCACAAGTGCTTTGATTTACTACCTGTTCTGACACCAAGAACTCCCTTACATGAGGCTTAATGCTATCACTGTTCAGAATTTTTGAAGTATGAGTCTGAAGTTCAGGATCCCAAGTATCCTCTGTATCTTCAAAAGCATCATTTGTTATACTTTCTTGGGCTGAATTAATAATCTCATTGACTAATTCCCTAGCTTGATCTTCTAACAAACAAGACACATTCATTCTATCAGAATCCAAAAGGAGACTCTTCTCACCAGGGGTAGGTGAAACACAGGCCTTTTCCTCCCCTCGGGCTCCTGACAAGCTTTCCAAGTCCTTCTCTTCCAAAGGCTCTGTCAGTTGGATCCCAGAAGGGGTCACATCTGATGGCTTTTTCTCGGATGTGTCATCTCCTCTCCAGGAACCAGGATTCATTATGGCGTCTCCAGCTATGTGGTCCTGGCACGTATGGACTGTGTCCTTGGATTCGAGGCCTTCCCTAACCGAATTAAAAGCCTCACCCATCCACGTAGCAGCCTTGTTGGGCAAAACACTTTTGGCGTCTGAACACTGGTCATGTGCTCTCTTCCTTGCTTCTACATGCTCAGCAGATGCTTCAGAACACTGCTGGCCTGAGCTGTTAACTGACGCTGGGGCCCCAGCAACTGCTCCAGTCTCTCCTTCCACCGGCTGGTCAAACTGGGCAGCAGTTGGGAAAACGACAGACACCTCCCCAGTATAATGATCAAAATGTCCCTGAGATGGGGTCACTTCTGCCCCTGCTGGTATAGATGTTTCAGATTCCAAATAAGAGCTTTCAGGGTGTGGCAGGTTAGTGAGGGAGGTGCCTTTATGCGTGACATCCAGAGTAACTTCCACAGAACCCAAGTTACTTTGGGGGTGACATGCACTTGTAATCATGCAGACTCCTTCGGCGTTCGAGGAAGACGTGCTCTCAGTGCCAGCACTTAGGGCAGGAGCTCTCTCTTTCTTTCTGTGAGATGAGCCTTTCGTTTTGGGTCTCAGCACAGAGGGGACACCGAGAGAGCCCGAATCTTCAGATGCAAAAGTGTTTTCCCCCACAGTGATAGGAGAGCTCAGAACAGGTGAACTTACTTCTGTGCTGTCAGTTTCTTGGACTTTGGGGCAAGTATCGGCGAAGCTCAGTTCTGCCCTTTCTGCGAAACCCGAACTCTTTTCAGTCCCACAGATATCTGAGGGTTGACAGGTCACATAAGCACTGGCTTTGTCACCGTGAACAGGAGGTAAGATCCCAGACGTATTACTTTTGAGAAAAGGAGCCGGACAACCTGATGCATCTACCTCTGTGTCCTTCTCACCTTGATGCAGGGAGGCAGGAGGAGACACCTCGGCGTGGCAATTTTCTTTAGGCCCCAAATCTGAACATCTCTCTTTGATCTCTTTGTGATCTACCAGTTGATGACTTTCCTCCTGTTCAGCCTCGAGGGAGATTAATTCTGATAAAACAGGCTTTGCTGGCACATCTGTAATTTCAAATGGAGGAGAAATGTTACCCTGAGAAATGTCTTTAGACTCCATTTGGGAAACAGATATCTTGGAAAGGGTTATAGTTTTTCCTTTTCCAGAATGTGACTCAGCAGGAACATTGTCCTGGCCATCAACTTCAGTTTCTGATAAAACTTTAGCAATGTTGCTAGTTTTGGTTTCCAAGGAAAGAGAACCAGACTTCCCTACAGTGCTCTTCCTTGCTTTACTGTCGGAAAGCACAAACTCTGCTTTGTTAGGGCCTTGAGATGAAGTGGGACCTTGGTCCTCAGAGATGCTTTCATACTCAAATGTGGAGTCCACTCTAGTCAAGGGGGTGTCACTAGCTTCAAGGTCCAGTAGAACCTGGCATCTTTTACTGTCGGGAAGAACTTCCTCAGAGTCAAGAATCACAGAGGCACGCTCACGGTGAGAGCGAGCTGGAGGACTCTTCCTGTCTGCAGCCTTAACACGACTCCGCACATTTTCTTCTTGACACTCTTTAGGCTCATTGGAAACACCAGCAATGTCGACATCCCCGGTTTCAGTGAGCACAGAAGACCCCTCATTCTTTACAACAGGCACATCCAACCTGCTCAGCATGCCGACTCCAGATACAAAGGTAGGAGAGGAAGCCTTGAAACTTGATTTTTTACAGTCAGGGGTAAAACAGGTTCTGGTATCAGGTGATACTTTGGTTTGTTGAGGACACTCAGAGTCAGGGGAGTCCTTCGTGAGATTTCTATAAAGTTCAAAAGTCAGTCCAGGGGGCATTTTGTTTTCTGAGCATGCTTCAGCTGCTGATTCACTGCCACATTTTACAGCAGCGGGGTCCTTTTGATTTAGCCTAGGAATGTGAGGCATTTTGCCAGGTGGCCCCAAATCAAGCCTTTCGGTTTCTGTTACAGACACCTGGTTGGTATCTTTGGATAATGACTCAATTTTATCTTCTGGAGCTTTTGCATGACTCGAAGTTGTGGGCTCACTGGCTGAGATACTTTCTGTTTCTTGCTTGATTTCTGTAACAGCCAAACTTTTCTGGGCCTCTGGGGCAGACAGCCCATTGCCTTCATGAACAAGTTCTGTGTCTGTTGCGGCACGTCTCTGAAGAGCACTGGTGTGCCTGGCACCCTGCTCCGATAGGCTACCTGCAGCTTGCCTGTCAGAATACTCGCTCTCTGGAGACTGCGAGTCCTCATGCCTAGTTGATTCATCTGAGCCCTCCTGTTTGGTAGTGCCGCTTCCATCAGATTTACCACAGAAGAAGTCAGAAACAGCAGGGCTCTCAGGCTCAACATGCTCTTCTCTCTGCACCGAGCTGTTTTCTTTTGTTGCAGTCTCTGTAGAAGTTATCCCCTGAAAGTCTGGGCTGCGAGGAACTGTGCTAACGGAACGCTCTGTAAACAACGCTGTGCATCCCAAGTTTCTCACAGTCCGAGAAACTGGTACACAGCTTAAATGGTGTTCCGAGTCCGATTCTCCAACAGCGAAGCTGGAGTCAGTCGTAGAAGAGGGGGATGATCTACCTCCCTCTGGTCCCCCAGGACCATTTTTATTTAAAACATCCTTAGAAGAAGCAACACTCGGCACATCTGGGCTGTTTGCTGGCTGGCTTTCTGAGCTGAGACTTGTTCTGCTACAATCAGAGTCTTCTAATGGGTCTCCCGGCATGTGCCCTTTTTTCACAGGTATGTCCGTGCTAGATGATGACAAAGATGACAGCATCCCAGCCTCAATCTCACTCCCAGGGCTGATCTGTGCCTTTGTACTGGAGTCAGAACTTTCATTTTCTCTGTCCAAGGGATTCACAGTTTCTAACACAGTCTGTTGCTTCAGATATTTTCTAATTTGTCTGGGGCCTCGATATGTGGCATAAGTTACTGAGGGTCTCTCCAGTTTACCATCTGCTTGTCTGGGGGAAAGAAGAACAGCATGAGAGGTCAGAAAATACAACTAGAAATATTTAACAGTAAGTAACCCCAGAAACTCTGGTGAGGTATAGCTCATAATAGGGAATGATTTTAACTTCTCTCTGTAGAGAAGAGCTATAAAACCAGCAATTGTTTTTCAAATTATAATAAAGCTTTGACAGTAGAAATTCACACTGTGGATATAAATCTGTTGAAAGTATAAGAATTAAAAAACTTTTTATAGAATTTCAATCAAGCAAAGTAGCAGCTTCCTATATAAATTATATTGGAAGCATAAGCTAATATATGGAAAACAATCTTAAAAATGCCCAACAGGTATATTTAAAGGCTTTATGGATATTAAAAAGAAAATTTGCATAGTTGACTACACATAAAAACAATTACAAAGTTGTTTATTATTTTAATTACATGAAGATAAAATAATTCACAATGCCTTTTTTCCCTTTATTGATTCTAGAGAGAGAAAAAGGAAAGGAGAGAGGGAGAGAAACATCAGTGTGATAGAGAAACATCAATCGGCTGCTTCTTGCACGTGCCCTGACTGGGGACCAATCCCACACCCCAGGCCTGTGCCCTGACCAGGCATCCAACCGGGAAGCTTTCAGACTGCAGGACAGTAACCAGCTGAGCCATAATACCCAGGACCATTCACGATGACTTTTGATGGAGATTTCTTTTAAACGTACTTCACAGGTCATTTTATTAACTTGTCTAAATTAAGCTATTAACCCTTTTAAACACACCCTATTATTTAAAAAAACCTATAAAGAAAAAATGAAGGGGCACTTTTACATGAGAAAGACAATGCAAAACCTTCAATTATTCATGCTTTATTAAAAAAATTGAAAATTTTATGTAAAACTTAAGTCCCCTAGTAATTAAAAAAATATAGGCTCTTAATGATAACTAACATTTTATATTTAAAATATTCATTTCAATTAAAATTAAGTAACCCTTGCTTGCAATAAATTCTTATCACAGACCAAAGAAACAATTTTAAAACTTAGAATGCAGATTCTCAAGATTACTAGTAAACAGCTTCTTGAGACACATTATTTAAATAATATCTAAAAACAGTTATAAGCAGTCCTTCCTCATACTTTCAAAATAAACTAGCTTAACCAAAATTATATTCAACTTTTATATAATTCCTAAGCAAATAGAAAATCATCGACAGGAAGTTACTAAAACTGTAATTCCAAACCTGATAATGTATAGAATTTCTAGAGCTGGGCTGAAGAAGCCTGTTATCTTACGCTGGGAGTCCAGTGGTATTTTCCTCTCCTCCTGAGTCAAGAATCACTTTTCTTAGCATTGTAAAACACAAGACCTGAAGATTATAATGGCTGTGGCAGATGGATGAATCTCTTCCTGTGGCATTTTCCACTATAGTGATCTTGGATCCCATAGCCAGTGTTTTTGCCCTTAATATTGGACTTGGAGGAGTTGGAAACTTCCCCATGGTCTCTACCAGTTATTCCTATTGTTATTAATTCCTATTATTAACTGTTATTAACTATGTGATTTGGGGGATGTTACTTAGCTTTCTGAGCCTTGTTTCCTTATTTAGAAAATATAGGTTAAAACAAAAAGAATCAGCTTTCTTTGCTGAGGTGTTTCTGGCGAATTACCTTAAGCAATTATTCCATTAACAAGGAGGGCTTTACTAATGAGAATTAAGAGGCACAGTATCCTCTTCCATTTTCTACTTCCCAGTACTAAAGAAATAAACTTGACGGTCAAGGAGGAAATCCTAAGATGTTCTAAATTAAAATTACTGCACCCAGAGAGTGAAAGACACAGAACAGTTAGCCCATTAACAGCTATGGACCAGCTCTGACAAAAGACTGTTATTTCTGTGTATCTGTGGGAATTTCGGATTAAATTCCAAGTGGCTATCTCCACAAATAATTTCAGTCAGGCACCAATAACTTCAGGAACCTCCACCTCTTGCTTACACGGGGGCCTTCCGGACTGAAACCTACCACCAATCCACAGGAGCAGTATCCTAGAGTGGGCCCTGCTACAGGTCCCCCCACCCCTTTGCCTACAGCTACTGCAAATTCCTTCACATGGTGTACATCTTTCTTCCTCTTTCCCAGTACCTGACGCATAAAAATGCTTACAAACTCGGAGACAATGGGCATGTCTTTCTGACTGGGGAACTCAAGAGTTGGAAAATTTTTAGTTTTAAATTATACTTAACAAGCTTAGTGATTAATGCATGTAAAAAGCTACTGTTCCAGGAACTGGGATGTAATCAGACCCATCCTGACTCTAGACCACACGCAGTTTGATCTTTGTGCCCCAGGAGGGTTGCAAGCAATCAAGGTGGTACCCGGGGAGAGATGGCCACTGCCCAGGACACAGATAAGGAATCACTGGTCAACAGACGAAAGGATGTTGGGAAGGTTACTGTTCTGCTGCTCCTATCTGATTGACCTTTTCCCTGAATTCCAAACCCCTTACCTACTTTCTTCCTGAATTCCAAACCTCTTACCTATACATTTATTCTACTCAAAAAAAAGGTTGACTTGAGAGATGAAATGTAAGACGGTCTTTCAGGGGTCCATAAACCAATGTCTTTTCAGATCATGGGACACCTGAACAAACAGCCCATAAAGATTCAACCCTGTTTCCACTCATTGGTTCTGGCAGTGACAGGCAGCACAAACGCCCACTCTTCTGGTCTCATATTCTGGTGACCCTGCCGGGACAGACTCGGACTGCCCAGTAAGTCTGGGTATTTGGTGGGAGTCCCACTGCTGCCTGGACTGGGCAGCCCTGGGTGCCCATCTGGAGACTCCCTAGCAGCTGCCAAGTGCTTTCACTTGGGACTCTCCTCCTCCAACTCTGCGCACTGCCCACTGCCTTCAATTCTTGACTGAATCACTGTGCTTTCTGGTTCAGGGTTAGATGGGCGGTCAGGAATTAAGGTGCCTCCTGGTTTGGCTTGTGTGACAGCACAGAACCCTGCCGGGCGGAGTCGGGGGAAGAGCCTCTGCTCCAGGACAAAGCCTTTTGGGGCAGGTTTTGGCTGATTGGTGGACGAATGCTAATAAACCTATGACAGAAAAGAAAATGATTCTTTATTGTAATACTGCTTAGTTTACATATAATCTGCACTCATGAGAGTGCTGGCCACTGAATGGGTCTTTAAAGTACTATACTATACTGCTATTAGAGTTGTTTTGTCAAAGATCAGGGGAGTGGGATGAAATGATTTCTATACACGCTTTTATAACTTTATACAATAAAGATGTAGGATTAAAAGGAAAAAATTAATGGTCCAGAGAAAAGGAAATTTTCCTGTGGAAGAGAGCAGAAGCTCACAGGAAGGTCAGGATGTTATGGCTGCTGCGAGCGTGATCAGGGTTCCCACGGCCCCTCCTGCCCTGGGGCGTCTTCCTCTTTACTCAGCTGAGGGACCCGGAGGAAGTGCGCCTGAACTGCTCTCTCTGTCCCGAACCTGTCTGGGGACTAAATTCCGTGGAGGACAGCCCCTACAGGGGTAGGGCAATACCCTTTGCAAAGACCTCCCCTGTGGGAGTAGAGCCAGAGGGGTTGGCTGTTATTGAGCACATACCGTATTTTTCAGACTATAAGATGCACTTTTTTAAACCACATTTTTTGTTTTAAAATTTTTCCCATATTTTCCAGCTCTAAAACCTAGGTGTGTCTTATGGTGCAGACCCCAGATGCACACAGGTTTTAGAGGAGGAAAATACAGAAAAAAATTAAAGCAAACAATGTGGTAAAAAAGTGTATCTTATAGTCTGAAAAATACGGTACTCTGTTTCCTACATCGGATCTGTTACACTAGGAAAGCTCAAAGCTTTTTTACAGAGATGACCCTACTAAAATAACCGACTCAGTTTTGTCAGTTTTTGCCACCTACCATCCCAACTGGGCAGACAAGCCTCACTAAACCTTACTAAATATTTTGCTTACAGGGATGAGCAGAGGCTGGTGTTGCAGAAGGCAAATGAAGAGGTTTGGAGACTGCACCACGAGAATCCAGGTGGGGCTCCCAACCTTACTAAGGCAGCACCTATAACCAAGCCCAAGGGACCCTAATGAGAATTCTTATTTTAGAGCGCTGTAGGGAATGCATCCTTGAGGGACTTATGAAAGAAGTCCCTAAGCAGAAAAGTCTGACTATGGTACAGACGGCAGGACCCCTCTGAGTTTTCTGAAAGAATCTACCAGGCCTATACAAAGTATGCTGATCTGGATCCAAAGCCCCTGAAAATATCAGAATGGTGAATATGACCTTTATCTTTCAAAGTGCACCTGACATAAGAACGAAATTTCACAAGATGGAGGGAAAACCTGGCATGAATCCTTCCTAGTTAGTAGACATTGCCTTCAAAGTTTATAACAGAGAACAGAAAAAGACCTAAGTGGCCATTGTTTTTTTGGAACAGGCCTCGGGGCAATTCTGTCGGCTGGTGAGAGGTGCTTGACCCCAGTCTAAAGTGCTTGCCATTGACCAATACTCGTATTGCAAAGGAAATGGGCGCTAGAAAAATGAGTGTCCCCACGAAGGAAAAGGAGGTCAGAGTCTGAGAACTGGAGAGCTACGCTGGGCAAGGGGACTCCTCTGACAGTGAGTGATGGACCCAGAGGTTCTCTCATTACCAACCATTAGAGTCACCCCCCAGGAATCTCGGGTAAAACTAACAGTGGGGGACAAACTGTAGACTTTTTGATTGATACCAGGGAGACCTATTCCATGGTCAACAGACCTCTGAGTCCCAACGGCCGGCTGTAACTGTAACTGGAATTTCTGGAAGCCTTGAAAGCCAATTTTTCTTGAAACCATGAGAATGTGCTGTGGGAGATACAATTTTAACTCATACATTTTTGTATATTCCTGAGCATCCAA